TAAGATGCAGCAATCGGACTGTTTGACGTACATCTGAAAGTTGCTCATATTTGTACTCTGTAGTGGTCATAATTATATAGGCGTGACTATGCCTCCCGGGCTGGGTGTATGGTGGTGACTTTGAGCGTTGTTAGCTGAACAAGATCTTACCCCGCTGTTTTAGAAGGGAAAAACCACCCACATGGGCTGGCAAATTTTCTAGTCATGGCATGAGTACCTCGCCACTTTAAACGGCTATGCTTTGAATGGCATTACTTAATTATATCATTCCAGCCCCCCCTTGCTGAACTGTTTGTTGAAGAGAAGAAGAGTGAAATAATATAAGAATTTGTGAGACATAAGATCAGTAGCGAGTATGGATTACGACGATAATTTCATGGCGTCTGCACGTTTGTCTATTCTCGATCAACCGTTGAGGTAGTCATCTCGATGCCACGATTGAGCTTCAGGAAATGAACAATTTCTGGAGTGTTCTTCCCAAGAATCGCTATTGCGGTTAAGCGATGATAACGACCTCCTAAATCTTAGCTTGAATACCCAGAAATCGAGTAATACTAGAAGCCCGGCACCTGTCAACGCCGTCCACAACGGAAACAGAGAAAGAGGGGGTTTTACCAGAACTCATTTACCTGAAGTTGCGCCCCCCATTTTCACTCTTTTTTTCTTTGTTAGAAAAGCCCCTACCTGGATCAGAATTGAAATAGAAATTGAGCCTGCCCGTAACATTGGCAATTTGAGCTGGCTCAACCTTCGTTCAGACAGAAATGAGACGTTTAGCGCTCCGACATCTTCTTAATGTTGTTTCCTAGCAATAGCATAACATTTTTTTGAATGGAATCTGACGGTGAGGCGCTTCCCTGACACAAGCTGGACGGGCGATATCTACCTTACAGGTTGTCTACTAGTAGCCAGGTATTCTCACTTCATTATGGAAGATTATGACCACATGTATGGCTCAGTAAGGTGGGACAAATGCCCATTACGGAACTAAAAAAGGGAAACTTCTGAAGAAAACTCCGGAAAGCAAGAGATAAAAAGGCCTAGGTTCTTGATAGCATGCAAAATACGTAAATGTATATGGAAGAGATCATAGCGAGACTGTCATAGTGATCGTCAACGGCAGACCAATGAGGCTTAATGTGAAATATGAATCGTCTTTCTGACTATACCATTATACAAGGCTCTACAGCCTCATGAGCTTCTTGACGTTCATCACTAGACAATATACAGCATTAAATACCTCCTGTGCCCCCACATGGGAAGGTTGGAAGCTCTACAGGGCCATGGTTCTCAACTCCTATCTCATAAGGCTCGTGTTGCCTCATCGGGATCATCATTGCCGAGTCCTCCTTCGTTCTTGGGACAAAGTCATTAGGGTTCAAATTGGATTTCCGCTTCGACTGTCGCCTTCGAAACAATAAAGCGCCGACACCAAGTAATACAAGTCCTCCGATGGCGGCTCCAACGCCAATGCCAGCTTTTGCTGCAGCCGACAATTCGCTTGTCTGTGATGTTTCCGGTAGATTGCTCTCGGCTGTCATTGAAGTAGTTGGTTTATCAGTTTGACTGCTGACATTGATACCTGTTGTACTTGTTGGTGAGCTTGTGAGAGGTAGGTCCGTAGACTGGAAATTAAGCTGGAACATTGGTGCATAAAGCGTCACAGGGCCTGTCCGTTTGGGTGATGCTGAGCCCTGTGTTGTGTCCTCATCAACTACCAGCGACTCCGTTAGGGTCGCTGGCAGTGTCACATATGCTACATCGGTTATTGTATTCATTGAACAATGTGCAGTTGGAACGACGGTCGGTGAGAATGCGCTGGCGATGCATGTGTTTCCAAAACGGTTTGTGCAACTAAAACCTCTTACGACGACAAGAGAAATAGTTAGCCTCAGAAACTCAATGCTCGAAAAGTAACAATTGCCTGCTGGCTTACATACTGGGGACAACACCCTACCGCTGTCTCTTTGGGTCTGAGGATGAACTCTACATCCCATTCAGATCCCTCGCCATAAACAGCTGTACAGGCAGATGTGTATCCTATTGGGCACGACAATCCTGGGGAATAAAAGCCCCAGCCGACGAATGGCCATTGTGCTGTGCCAACATTTCGGTCCCTAGGCGGCCAACAGTCTGCGTTGTCTTGGGGTTCTCCTGGATCTCCGCTTGCTGTAGTTCCACAAGTCTGGCCCTGGAAGAATTCCACACAGGTTGAACAAGGCGGGATCAAGTAGGTACAAGTAGGCGGAAGAGTCCACACTGTTGTCAGCGGACCCAGGACCGTACCAGCTAGGCCAGTATACACACCCGCCATCTCGAGTGCCCCAGAATCATGAGCAGCACAATATCAATTTCAAAAGCGGATACAGGATTCTCAGCGGTAAAAACCTCTCGTTGACCCTATATAACATGGTGCGGTCTGCATGACCCCTGTGTGGCACAACCTCGCGCCGAGAAACCTGTAACCAACAGTCGAGTGAAAAATGAAACTACTGGCTGCGCCACTGTGCAGTGGAAAAATGCAGCAACTGGTAATACATTTCTTATCAACATTCGACGATCTTTTGCCAATTTAGACACCGCCTCGACCAAAAAGACTTTAGGTCCTTACCTCCAATAAAGACTATAGGGGCAAGCCTTTAAGGGAGCCACATAACATGAGCTCTCTGCCGGTTCATGAGCATGTCTGTGAATAACAAGACAAGCCTTACATGGCATAAATTCTTTTGGTGCTCAGGCGGATCCTATCAGTCGAAGGCGATTGGGTGAAGAGTGGCGCCAGCTTATCGAATTGACAGTGTAAGAGAGGACTGCAAACTGGGGTATGTATGAGACTGACCAATCAGCTTAGTCTCTTTTTCAGACAAGAACCAACAGCCACAAAATTGACGAAAAGGGAGATTGACAGGAGAATCAATCCTGAGGGAAGTCCGCCCCCCTTTCCGGTTTGCTTGAAATGCCCCGGTGTCTCACGTCTTCTGGCAGGACTCAATAGATGCGGGTGTTGTTCTTCATTTTCTTTTCTTTAATATTGGCTGTTCTGTGGTGCCAGTATGTTGAGGTTTACTATCTCGCGCTTCTCTATCCCAATATGGATCCCCTTCGTTCTTCTTGCTTCAGTCATTTTTATAGGGTTCAACCATGACTCCTTGCAAATACACCACTGGCGACCGCCCTCAAGCCTTGGCCATGACCTATTCGCAAAGCAGGTTTTTGCATCAGATCTCTTAAAGCGGCCATTAACGAACAATACCTCTACGATACCCAGAATTTATCATCAGAGTTGGATGTCAGCTGAACTTCCTGCCAAGTTCCAGATTTGGAGCAAATCTTGTCGGTTGTTACACCCTGACTGGGAATGGGTTCTTTGGACAGACGAGGATAATGCTCGTCTTGTTCATACGTATTTTCCCTGGCTTGAGGAGAGCTATCACGCCCTACCTGCAGAGATATACCGTGCGGACCTGGCTCGTAGCCTTTATATGTATGCATTTGGAGGGTAAGTTAAGCCTTATTTTCACAGTCGTCAGGCATGCCATTTGGTTAATTCTGCCTTCGTGCTCGAATATAACTTCAACCATATCTAAGAAGAAAACCATCTACTAACAAGGGGAAATAAGCCTCTATAATGACCTCGATACTGAATGCCTTCAGCCATCAGAAGCAGCTCTAAACAAATATTTCCCTAACGATCATCAACAATTTCAACAAGCATTCTTCGGACGTATGGGTGACAACCCTGACTTTGAGCACTCAATACCAAACGCATGGATGGCTGCTACACCAGGGCATCCTCTATTCCTTGTACATCTAGAGGCTATAGATCGACAGGTGCGAGGAGGAAAAACTGCCGGACTCCTACCAGAATCACTCACCGGTCCTGTTGCGCTTCGGGAAGCAATTGTCAACTATGAGATTGGTAGGGTGAGGCATGGGCTCTCGATTGATCCGAAGGTAGATGCGGTGAAAAAGAACAGCCCCTTTGCTGATGCTGACTATGGAGATCATCGGGTAATACTTCTCCCTAGCGAGATCATCTATCCTTACAGTTGGGGACCTGAGGGAGAACCAGTGCGGGATAAATGTTGGGTTTTGAAAGATGGGTTTGATCCCGACGCTTGTAAGACGAGGCTGAAAGTTGGAGAGAAGAAAAGCATTTCAATCACGTATTGGAGCCACACACACAGCCCTGATGGTGCCAACGCGGAAAACATGAAGCACATTGATTAGGAATCGATGTCAAAGTTGGACGCACAGGTCGCTGACCTACTGCTAATGTACTAATGTACTGTGTTGGAGCATTAGGCGGTTCACGAGACGCCTTACCTCGTCTGTATTGAATTTAGATGTGAAGCGAACTAGCTAGGAAAAGAGCAGGTCCGTAATAATACAATAGAAAACGTAAACCCATCTTACGAGATTATTTCAACAAGGGCACCACCATTCTCCATATATCACTAAACACTCTCGACAGGATGATTTTGTGGTTTCGTTTTCCTGTATTAGAACGTATATCGACATTCGATCATATCTATTGGGAAAGGCGATCGGATCACGTCCAATCCTGTGGTGAACACAAATTATAAAGCTAGCACTGGTGGGCTTTAGATTAGAACCACCCAGTGAGCTACACTACAACAAACATCATACTGGTAGTCTCCTGCTGTGCAATAATGCCTTAAGGTCTGACATTGTTCAGCAAGAGCATTGCTTGCCATCCATCCTGTCCTGACCAGCCTCACATACAATTGCTGCGGCAATAACGTCATGATTGAGAGGGTGTCTAGCCTTCACGAGAGGAACGAAGTGGTGCTCAGAACCCATATGAATCACACATTTGGGGGTTGGAGGAGCGAATCCTGCTGTGCCCTGCTGTGCCACTTCCTTCGACACCCCAACTCGCCTCCTCAAACCTCTCATCTTGGTATGACATTACGGAAACATCTGAACATCATTCAAGTTGCACAATTGGTCTTTCGCTTACAGCTATTTGACAGACCATGTCGACCTCAGAAGCTAGGCGGCGGATTTTCATCACCGGAGGCAGTGGCTTTGTTGGCTCACGCATCATCTTCTTCGCTGTTGCGGAGGGCTACGAGGTACGCGCTCTGTCACGCAGTGAGAAGAGCGATGAGAAACTCCAGGATCTTGGCGCCGTGCCGGTCCGCGGCGATCTGTCCACGTTGGAAGTCCTGACACAAGAAGCTGCCGTTGCCGATGTCGTGATCCACTTGGCCGATTCCCAGATTGGCAATCTCGGAATGTCATGGGATGAGATTCTACGCATTGATGGAGCGGCTGTTGGCGCGCTGGCGGAGGGATTGAATGGCTCTGGGAAGCGCCTCCTAGTTACGTCCGGCTCCCTTGTCGCAGCTGCGGACCCAACCGGGGCCGAGACGGACGAGTCGTCCCCACCATGGCCGGAAGACCAAGCACCTCATCAGCGTCTTAAGGCGGAGAAGCACGCACTTGGAATGGTAGACAAGGGTATCACGGTGGCCACCATACGCCTGGCACCGTGTGTTCACGGCCACGGGGGAAGCGGCCCGGTCATGTTTATGAAGCTTGCCACGATGCGTGGTCAAGTATGCTATGTAGACGAGGGAAACACGCGCACATCCTTTGTGCATGTTGACGATGCGGCTAGGGCGTATCTACTCGCAGCCAAAAAGGCCAGGGCGGGAGACATCTTCAACGTGACCGCGGAGACAAACGTCACTATGCGACAGCTCACTGAGGCATTTGGTGAAGCGCTGAGATTACCGACAAAGTCTCTAACAAGGGAAAAGGCTGCCGAGATGGTGGGACAGTTCCTTGCAAGATTCCTCACAACTGAAAACAGAGCGTCTAATGCAAAGGCCAAAGGGGAACTGGGCTGGCAGCCCAGGGAAATTGGCATTCTTGAGGATATCACTTCTGGCTCATATAAGGCAGTTGCGGAAACGCTAATCAAGCCACAGTCTTAACTCGATGGTAGAACGATAAGTATACTTGAGGTGCATTAGCAAGAGGTAGGCATATAATCATATTTTTGTATACAAGATGTTCTAAATCAGAGAGATACACGACTTGTCCGAAGCTGAAGCAAGGACAGGGCCCAAGCTTCAATTTCTTAGACCCGCACCACCTTATGTTCCTAGCCAATCACCTGCAGAATTGATCTCCACACCTTTGAGCTTCAAAGGGCCTTTAGCCAAGCTAGCGAGAAGCGCGATCTCACAATACAATCCCCAACAGCTACCGGATTTTTCCTAACCTCAGAGAGCATTTGTGTCTTCGGGGGCGATATGTTCGCACAAGACATACAATGCAGTGCTACGCTGAGCTGACGCCTCCCACGGCCGTCACGCATTCCGTCTCGTTGCCTTTTGTGTCGGCGCAAAGCAACAACCTGGTCGTCGCGAAGTCATCCCTCCTCCAGGTCTTCGAGACCAAGAATATCGTTGCCGAGATCGACAACGCCCAGACCTCGAATGCGCAATCCAACAAGCCAACGAGCCAATATGATAGCCGATTGAATGATGACGAGGGCCTCGAGTCCTCTTTTTTGGGCGGTGATGCCGTTCTGGTGCGGTCGGATCGAAGCAACACAACGAAGCTAGTTCTGGTTGCGCAGTTTTCGCTGTCAGGCACAGTCACAGGGCTCGCTAGGATCAAAACACTCAATACAGAATCAGGTGGCGAGGCCTTGCTCATTCTTTTCAAGGATGCAAAGCTGAGTTTGGTCGAGTGGGACCCCGAGCGAAAGGGTCTCTCAACCATCTCCATCCATTACTATGAACAAGAAGAGTTACAGGGCAGCCCTTGGGCGCCGGCTTTGAATGATTGTGTCAACTTCCTGGCTGCAGACCCTGGGAGCAGGTGTGCTGCTCTCAAGTTTGGCACCAGAAACCTGGCCATATTGCCATTTAAGCAGCCCGATGAAGACATTGACATGGGTGACTGGGATGAAGAGCTAGATGGCCCGCGACCTGTGAAAGACCAGTCAACGGCTATCGTAAATGGAACTAGCAACATAGAAGAGACAACACCTTATTCACCGTCATTTGTCCTTCGACTCTCCAATCTTGATCCTAGTCTCATCCATCCCGTGCACCTCGCCTTCCTATATGAGTACAGGGAACCGACCTTCGGCATCCTGTCCTCCACCATGTCTCCTTCGCCCGCATTGAATAGGAAGGACCACCTCTCCTACATGGTTTTCACACTAGACCTTCAACAGAAAGCCTCCACTACCATTCTCTCTGTTGGCGGCCTTCCACAAGATCTTTTCCAAGTCATTGCCCTACCGGCACCCGTTGGCGGAGCTCTCCTTGTTGGCACCAACGAGCTGATTCATGTTGATCAATCTGGAAAGTCAAATGGAGTGGCAGTCAATCCTTTTACGAAGCAATGTACCTCCTTCGGTCTCGCTGACCAGTCCGATCTCAATCTACGACTTGAGGGTTGCACTATCGATCTCTTGTCCCCCGAAAGTGGGGAGATGCTGATGGTTCTACTCGATGGTCGCCTTGCAGTTCTGAGCTTCCAGATAGACGGCCGAACCGTATCCGGTCTACATCTCCAAATTGTCTCTAATGACTGCGGCGGAACAATCATTCCAAGTTCTGTCTCATCTCTAAGCCGACTAGGAAAGAATGTGATTTTCGCTGGCAGTGAAGATGCAGACTCCTACGTCTTTGGATGGACCAGAAAGCAAACCCAACAATCCAGAAGGAAAACGCGTACGGCTGAGGCTTCAGTCGATTTTGATAACGATGAAGAGGAACCGGAAGACGACGATGAAGATGACCTTTATGGCGATGGCCCAGCTGTTGCACGTGTTTCTGATAGCGCTGGTGCCTCTACGAAAGGTGGCGATCTTGTCTTTCGAGTCCATGATAGTCTCGTGAGCATCGCCCCAATTAGAGACATCGTATATGGCAAGGCCGCCTTCCTACCGGATAGCGAAGAAGAGAAGAACTCTGCGGATGTTCGAAGCGATTTGCAAATTGCTTGTGCTGTTGGCAGAGGAAGCGCAGGCTCTATTGCTGTGATAAACCGGCAAATCCAACCAAAGATCATTGGAAGGTTTGAGTTTCCCGAGGCACGCGGACTTTGGACAATGAGTGCCCAGAAGCCGATTCCAAAATCACTGCAGGGCGATAAAGGTGGAAATACAGTTGGCAATGACTACAGTTCATCCGCCCAGTATGACAAATTCATGATTGTAGCCAAGGTCGACCTTGACGGTTATGAGACGTCTGATATCTACGCTCTTACCGCTGCAGGGTTTGAGACTCTGACGGGAACGGAATTTGAACCAGCAGCAGGATTTACTGTTGAAGCTGGCACGATGGGAAATCACAAGCGAATCATACAGGTGCTAAAATCCGAGATCCGCTGCTACGATGGAGGTAAGTCTCTGGTCCCTGAGGATTCGGAGTGCCCATTCTTTCGCAAGTACTAGACACTAACAATGATCTCAAGATCTTGGTCTCAACCAGATACTTCCAATGCTTGATGAAGAAACTGGAGCCGAGCCTCGCGTGATCAGTGCGAGCATTTCCGACCCATTCCTTCTCCTAATTCGGGACGACTTAAGCGCATTCATTGCTCAGATGGACAACAGCTGTGAGCTGGAAGAACTCGACAAGGTGGACGAGAAGCTGTCATCTACGAAATGGATTACCGGCTGTTTATATGCCGACGTTTATGGGGTTTTTGCACCTGTTCAGAACGATAAGGGCATCAAGACTGGCGAGAATATCCTCATGTTCTTACTGAGCTCGACTGGAGCTCTCTATGTAGGTTATTCTACGATGAGCCCGCCTGTATGCAGCTAATGGCTTTAGATATACGCTCTACCGGACCTAACTAAGCCCGTATACATAGCGGAAGGGCTGTGCTACATCCCGCCGATACTCTCAGCTGAGTTTGCAGCAAGGAGGGGCACAGCGAAAGACACCATTACGGAGATTCTAGTAGCGGATCTTGGCGACACTGTTTCGAAGTCTCCTTATCTTATTGTGAGTCGCTCGTCCACAAGATGAGAATCAGGTCCTAATATTATTAGTTACGACATGCGAACGATGACTTGACGTTTTACGAACCATTACAATACGGTGCAAGTGAAAAAGGAGATTTGGCGAAGACGCTGCGCTTTTTGAAGCTTGCAAATCCAGCTTTTGCTAAAGGCGCACAGGAAATTGTGCAAGATGATGCATCGAACGAGGCCCGACACTTTCCCCTTCGTGTGTGCCGTAATGTCAATGGCTACACTACTGTGTTCCTACCTGGGCCTTCAGCAAGTTTCATCATTCGTTCCGCGAAATCCACGCCTCAGGTGATTGGACTTCAGGGCTCCGGCGTGACGGCCATGAGCTCGTTCCATACAGAGGGCTGCGAACGAGGATTTGTATATGCAGACTCGGAAGGCATCGCCAGAGTTACACAACTGCCCGAAGAACACACCTTCTCGGAGCTCGGGATGTCGCTGAAGAAAATACCATTGGGTGTTGACATCAATGCCATTGCCTATCATCCACCGATGAAAGTCTATGCACTGGGCTGCAGTGTCTTCGAGGCATTTGAGCTGCCGAAAGACGATGACTATCACAAAGAGTGGGCGAAAGAGAATGTTTCGTTCAAGCCTATGGTCGAGCGAGGTGTGCTCAAGCTCGTTAGCCCTATCACATGGACCGTTATCGATTCCCAGGAGATGGAGTCATGCGAGACAATTATGTGTATCAAAACATTGAATCTGGAAGTTTCTGAAGACACTCATGAGCGGAAACAACTTGTTGTTGTCGGCACAGGTATATCCAAGGGAGAGGATCTGCCCATCAAGGGCCGCATTCATGTCTATGATGTGGTTCCAGTCATCCCTGAACCCGGGAAGCCAGAGACGGATCGTAAGCTCAAGCTCATCGCGACAGAAGACATACCTCGTGGGGCTGTCACGGCGATCTCCGAAGTAGGCAGTCAAGGCTTGATGCTCGTGGCTCAGGGCCAGAAGTGCATGGTGCGAGGTCTCAAGGAAGACGGGACACTGCTGCCCGTGGCTTTCATGGACATGAACTGTTACGTCACGAGTGTCAAGGAAATACCAGGCACGGGGCTCTGCTTGATGACAGATGCCTTCAAGGGCGTCTGGTTCACAGGCTATACTGAAGAGCCATACAAGATGATGCTCTTTGGTAAAAGCAATACTACCATGGAGGTGTTGAACGCAGACTTCCTCCCTGATGGCCGGGAACTGTTCATTGTCGCCGCCGATACAGATGGAAATCTCCATATATTCCAGTTTGATCCAGAACGTGAGTTTGACCCTGTATACTGCGAGTCGATCGATTTACTGACGATGCTACAGATCCAAAATCGTTACAAGGACATCTACTGATCCACCGCACAAGTTTTTGCACGGGCGCGCATGTGGTGACGAAGTCACTGATGCTTCCTAGGACAACCTTCCCATCTCTAGAACTAGACGAGATTAACGGTACTAATGGCGATGCACCGGCACTGGAACCACAGGTCCTCCTCCTAGCATCTACTACAGGAGCACTATCATCACTCATGCCAGTGTCAGAGTCATCTTACCGGCGCCTCTCGTCTCTCGCCTCCCAACTGGCCACATCGTTACCGCACGTTGGCGGCCTTAACCCTAAGGCATACCGCTTACCCCCATCTGCCACTCAGGTCGTCGCCAAGATGCCGCCTGGCGTAGACGCAGGTGTTGGTCGCAATATAGTAGATGGAGCGCTGTTGGCAAGGTGGGCAGAGCTGAGCAGCGGACGACGAGGTGAGGTCGCTGGACGAGTGGGCTTTAATGGGCCAGAGGAGGTCAGAGGAGAGCTTGAGATGGTCCTTGGATGGGGCGGCATGGCATATTTCTAGAAGTACCTCGTTGGAGGTGCTGAAACAGCCTTCGAGGCAGCGGTCAGTCAGCGGTCATCACGTCATTTGAATGTATTTGTAGAAAACCCTGGTGAAGGTCTGATTCATGCGGAATGAAATCATTTTCGATGTGATTCATTATAGCATGTGCTCCCAAACGTATTTTTTTACATCACATCTTGATATGATTTCGAGTATCACGATTTGATACACTTGTACCTGCTATGATATCGTACCCATGGAACAGATCCGACCGAAGCAACAACGTGAGTACTCGCTCCTTTGAACCACTTGTTGGCTTAAAATCAAGCCAACGCCACTAATAGCCGCCAAGTCCTGCGCGCTTGTGACCACGAGGAGGCCATGAAACTGGCCAGGTCAAGCTTCATGATGTGCTATAATAAGGTGGGCCAAGGCCGCGTGCACCCTCAGCCTCGCATGTAAAACAGCTAGTGAAAGAAGCGTTGCACTTCTCTGAACAAGTCAAAGACGTCAGTTGGGGCTCGAGGTGGGCCGCTCTTGATACGCCATGCGTTTGGACATTTTAAGGCTCCTTTACCTACAACACGTCCCGCCAGCTCTATTGGCTGTCCGTTGAAACACATGGCCGTACGTATAGAGGTGCGGTGGCCAAGAAATAATTGGATAATTTGTTATTGATCAAAGTACATGGAGTAGTGCCTATGAAGGCGACTCTCATCCTCCCACAAGTTTCAATCGTGTTGTCCTGGTCACCGGTCGGTTTCAACAAGGCACAGGGTTGTGTTTGCACTGATAGGTCCAGTAATTCATAATTACAGACAAAAGCTTGGTATTGTCGTGAAATATAGTAAATATATCTAAGACCTTCGATCTTCGAAAATTGTGAAGATGAAGAAAGCTTTCCTTCAGATCCCCTTTGCTAAGAACGAGGGAAAAGGTATTTGACAATAGATGGATGGATGCCGCCTCGCCGCTCAATGGCAGGAGAGGAGGACCGTGGGGATGACTTGCGGCTGAGTCAAAAAATAGTTTGCTTGATACAGAATGCAGGGAAACCGCTTCCTCTGGGTTATGCATGTGTGAAGAACGCCTCCTTCAGTCTCCATTGTTGAGTGTGTTTCTTTGTCCGTGTCGGTTGGCTTCGGCCCTCCGCCTCCCGGACACACCAGCCATGCTTGAACACGACGGTGGTAGATAGCGCAGCACAAAATTTTGGGAATATGTACATTTAGAAATGTTCCTTCCAGAAGCGGAAATCTACTTCTCTGACCGTCGCTGCCTTGCAGGCCTTTTTGATATCACGGGCTGCGGTAATGTTAGCAATTTGAAGTCAGACGAGGTATCTCACGCGGTGACACTTACCAGCAACTGATGGACCACAGAAGTACACACCAACAGTGGTCTTCATGCTACCTTCCAAACCACTCATGTATGTCCTGTCCAGAATACCGTCTCGCATAGTGGCGAACAGCTTGGCGAAGTTGGGACGGCCGAAGTTGGTGCGAGACTTCAATTCAGTAAGCGGATCATGGTCTGCGCCAACAGAGTTGAGCACAATGTTCTGGGTAGTATCCATATCCAGCTTCTGTGTGAGGTATGTGTGGATTTTCAAGAACTCGACTCCAGAGCTTCCAGGGATGCGAGCTGCCTCAGTACTCTGCGACTCGAGCGAGGACAGAAGAGTCTGGAACCACTCAAAGGAGCTTGTGTCTTTGCACACCCAAAGGAACTCCACCCGTCGAAGACGGGTTGGCGGGTTGGGACCATTGCGCAAGTGCCAGATGTTCTTCAGAATTGAAGCCCATGGGGTGACACCAATACCTGTGCCGATCAAGACTGCGATTTCGTTTTCGAAAACATCCTCAGCCGGAGCACCATAGGGTCCATCAATGCGGAGCATTGGCATTTGCTGGCCATTTTGGAGGGCGACTTCATACATTCCCATGGGGTCCACACCCTCATACAATTTGGCCTGAGCGGAACCAGCACCGAGAGCATCTCCGAGAGCTCGAGTGAAATCACCAACTTGTCTGACGTGGACTGAGACGTAGGGGTCATATGGGCATGACGTGATGGTAAAAGGATGCCACTGGTACTTCGATACAGACGGCACCTGTAGGAAGAGCCACTGACCGGCCTTGTATTTGAACGAGGGCTTGTTGAACTGGATCTCAACGACATCTGGCGAATGTTAACTTCTGTAATTCAACCTACCCTCTCGAAATCTCAACTCACCATATGGATGACGGACTACACGAGTGATCTTAGTATCGCGACGGGCTCTAACCTCGCGATACAGTCGCTCAATCAAATAGATACCGCCACCGAAGAGCTCCCATCTCCAGCCCTGGTAACCGATACAATGCGTCCAGAAAATCTCACCTGCGAATGGAGAGAATCCATCTGCAGTATCACGGACGAAGCATCCTACAGCATGTGTGTACATTCCCAGCATGAACGGAATGAAGAGATGATGGGTGTACCAGAAGGTCTCGAAGGATTGCTGACGAATGCGTTGGTGGGCAGTCGTGTACATCAAGAGCATGCATAAAAGCATTACATGACCGGTAGCACCACCAGGTTGAGCGTAATGAATCTGAAGAGCCAAGACTGGCCGAATTTGCGTCACCTCGACGTTGAAGAAGCTAAAATAAAATCAGAACAGCCCCGAAGCGGCGAGAGTGACAATACTTACTTGACGTAGTGAGCAGTTACGTGCGCAATAGTGAAGACCAGCATCGCATATGCGATTTGCCTGTGGAACCAGAGATTCTCATCCAACGGGATCCACCTGACCTTCGGTCGAAGCCATCTCATGAGCGTTCGTGAGACTGGGAGAAGAATAAACATTGTGTCGAAACTCAACACCAGACCTGCACCTCGAGATACCCAAACTGAATATTGGAGAGTATTCAGGCCCGCAAGACGCGGGTCGGCCGCCTGCTTGTACCTATAACACCGCTTAGCATTCCGCTCACTCGAATAGAATCTCGAGACTCATACCATCCGAAGGCGAAGAGGAAGATGTGCAGACCCCAGAAGATGATATGGAATATCAACTTCGTAGGCGTGAACTGCTTCTTCACCAGCGTAGCAAAACTCATTTCACCCATCTTGCCGATAATCCCCCCTCTTTAACCCAAAATAACCAAGATTAATCGTCGACCGGCGACTTGTAAGGCGTCGGAATCACGCCGGCAGCGACTTCGATAATGTGAATGTCTTTCGTCACCCTGTTTGCTTCGTTTCGAGTGCCAAGCCGTGTCCCTCCGAATTACAATATTTTTCTTAAACCAACAGTAGCAACAACCAAACCGAGAAAGTCGACTCCGGGATGATAAAAGAGCGATCTGAGCCAGCAGCAGCGAAGGAAAGAAAGGAATGCCAAGAGGAGGGCTTGGAGGAGAATATCGATTCTTCTGCCTTGCCGACTAAAGAAGGAGGGAGAGGGGGAAAAGACGAATCTAAGGTTTGGCGGCGGGTGGGGAGAAAGTCATAAAGGGATGCCGGCACACGACCTGTCAGTGAATAAGGTACGGCGCACAGGGGTTCGTCAGATCGAAGAGTCTTGATTCGGTCGAGCCGGGGCCGTGCCTTGCATGCAGCGCAACAAGGAAAACCCAAAGTCTTCGGATGTCAGATGTCCTTGAAACCTCTTATCCGCTTCGAGTAATGCTCGCCTTCTGTTTTATCCCACAGCGCAGACAGCTGGCAGCGCTGGCACGGGGCGCCAGTGGAGCGTTATCCTCAAAGGGTGGGTCGACGATGGGTTCAAAGGTGGTCCAGGGTCGGCCGGTACCAGGATGCCGTCCCTTGATGAGAAGGAAGATCAGACGCTGGAGGGAGTTTCGCTTGCAAGGAGGCCTGTGTCAGGTTGGATCTGAAAAGAGAATGCTATCAGACGGCTGGGCAGTGCAATGCGGCCAATTCACAAGTTGAGACGACTTGTGTTAGAGAGCGCTATGACGGGGTTCCTTGGAGGCTGTTCTGGTGTTTCGGCTGTGACAGGGGTGGTCTGGCCCGTCGTGGATCTGCGCTCGCTGGGGTACAGTATTATTTTTTCAAAGGCTCTCTTCAGAATCGGCGGCGAATTACCTGAAGGACAGAATTGCAATGATCAATTACATTCAGTCATAACGGCGTGTCTATTAGGGTATCGTGAGAGCTTCAGACAAGAGGAGCGCGAGCTCCGGCATGGTTGGGACAGACGTTGGACCTTTATCAGGTCGAGCCCAGCTAAGAATAGCGTGTGGAAGTGCCCGTGCTGTGGAGTGAATTGGCTGTCCTGGGGATTGTGACCACGATGGCGGGCGCTTAAGGACGAGCGCAGAGGCGTGCACAGAGGCGGTGGGCTTGCGGGTGGCCGTATGGGCAGGCCCTGATTTGTCCGACCTGGCTCCCTAATGCGCGAGCCGTCTTCGCTAGTCGATGCTGCACCGCAGATTTCAGGGACCAGCCATTCAGAATGGAACGGCCTTGTCTGTCGTGCGACCAATTAGGCTGCTTCTGATCACGATGGGTGTTACCAAGAGACACCAATGCGGCTTGGCTTGCCGAGCGCATCCGTGGTGGAGGTTTCGCCGTGTGCTGGGGGGAGACCTTCGTCAAACGTAGTGCTGCCTCCCCAGACCACTAGTGAATGTGAGAGCACTGCAAGGGTTGAGTACCTCGCACAGGAGTCCCCATTCTCCCAATCCGTAACAGCATGGCAATACCGGCCATGTGGGGACTCTTTCTCGAGTCGGTAGTTCTATTACCTTGCCTAGCCATGGCCTCTTCTGCTGCGGCTACTCTTTGCAGGATGGATTGCATGCAGGAAGCTGGTGGGGAGTTCTAGAATGGATTCAAGGTTGGATATGCAACGGCGGCACAAGCTCATGTCAGCGTTGAAGCCTTGGTCCACCATCTCCTTAATAGGAGAGTCGCTCTTGGTATGAGCTCATAGGTGTGATGATTTTGCAGCTCCATCATTCGAGAGGTGTTTGAAGATCTTCTGTGCCATCTCTGAACCGTGGTTGAGCTTAAAGAGGTCACAGGGGCTGCAGACAAGATTGTTTTTGAGTTGCTCGTCAAGGCTCGCTCCCGGGCTTGGCTTTCCGAGCCTAAATGCTCCGTAATGCACAGAACGGACCTTCCGGTGGGATCGCTCAGGGCGTGCTCCTCGCTAGAAAGCGGATTGATGAGGCAGGTTGACCGCGGAACGCTTCAGCTGGACGTCTTTGCGAGGCGCCCTTGACAGAGAGTCCAAGGACTGTAAGACAGATGCGATCTCGCTGTGACACGCCGTTGCCATCAACTGCCTTATGATTGGGCCACCGAACAAGCTGAAAACTATGACGCGGAGGAGATCGAGATGTTGCGAAGACGATCCCAGAGGATCTGGGACAATTGACGACGCATCTCCAGCCATCGACCATCATCGTGGTAGCAATGTCATCATCGCTGCTGCCGGCAGCAAAAGCTAGACGGTGGCTTGCAGCCGAGACAGAGGCTCCAACGCTTCGCTTGCCTTCTTTTGGTGAGCTGTAACGGCAGCGTTGAATGTGCTAAGGGATCGCCCCCCCAAGATGAAACGGTTTGGCGCTAGGAGCCAACAAAGTTGCCGGATCTAATGCTCAACCGCGGTCCGCGCTGCAAGATCAGCGCCGCGCATAGCAGGCATACTGTGGGTAGTCGGGGAGGCTCTACACAGTTGGAGACTGCGCTACATCTTCAAATCTTCAACCTTAAGAAGGTCAAGCTTTTTGCTGTATGCCGTCGCGCGGCGTCCCGTCGTACGTAGAATTCCACGTACCTACCTCCTTGAGCTAGTTTACATATATGCCTTCCCTCCACCCTTTCACTTTTATGGAAGGAGCATTTCTCCCAAAACCCCTCTGGGATGAGATATCAGATACTGCATTACAGTCCTCTTGCCAGTTGACCAGCTCGCCTAATGAAAACACAGTAGCTTCAAGTTATTAGAGAGCCTCTCTACTGCTGCAGACTCATCACATCAGCCGATGTAGAATACGAACGTGACCATGTGAGAAGAGGTACTGCAAATCACAATGTAAAGACCTTGAAAGTCTTGAGAGATTTGGCTGGCCAGCCAACATTGCCCCTTTATTGCCTACAAATCCATGGGGGATTGAGCAAGAAATTGCGACGTATGATAAATCACACACAAATTTTGACCGTCCGATTTATATTTTTGAAAGTCGCCATCTTGTCTCAGACTCAACCCATGTTTTTGACATAGCCATTACATTTTATACCGGGTTTGACTCAATTCTATTCCTTAGTCATACTCTCGAATTCTCATATACGCTTGTGGCGTCTCGAATGAAATGCAGCTTGACGATCTAAGCAGTTGGCAACCTACGCTTGTAGAAGGCTTTGATAGCCTCGATCTATTGCCATGATGCTGTGGATCAAGCGGACAGGACGAGTTACATTCCTGGCAGCAACTGGCAGGAAAACAACACGTGGATAAGAGACCGACCTCTTCTAGTGTAACAAGTAAATTTGAGCCCAGACGAGATTTAAGTCAGCCGACGCATCATTAGTTCATCCGGCGTCTATGAGTTGAACATGCAAATATCAAAGACACCAACGCCTCAGGAAGTGTCAAAGTGACAGCTGAAGCGGCGGACATTGCGTGGCCCAGGCGGGGCGGTGGTGGCTGTGCGACGGATTATTATTCAGCCTTTGCCAGGTGGAAGCTCTTTGAGAGGGCCCGCCCGCCAAAATAGACCTCAGTGGAGGAAGGCTGGGCAGTTCAGTGTTGGTGGGGCCAATCGTCACCGCGCATCCATCTGTAGTCAGGCACCACCGGGTCCTTGTTTCGCAAGAGGCGAAGCATCTCAACCTCCTCCTCAACCTTTCAACCCGTCAAAGAGTTTTCTTTGCTCGACAATACACTCACAACCGCTAAGCGACACAAGAGATTCCTTTTGCTTCTAGTTGACACCTTCATACCTTTGGCAGATGCGTGGTTTGTCGGCAGATTTGTCTTGAACTGTTAGCGCCCGCATTTCGGCATACGGCACACCCAACATGGTGAGAATCTGCTAAATGCTTCCTTCGGGGACATGATGTTATGCCCGAAGTACTAACAACCATCAGGCTATCACGAGGAGGGGAAAGGATAAGGGCGCAAAGCCCGAACGAGCTGCTGGAGGTGGAGGCGGCGCCGCAAAACCGAAGAAAGCCACATTCGAGACCACGAAGAAGAAGGAGATCGGAGTTTCGGACCTGACTCTTCTAAGTAAGGTCTCGAATGAAGCGATCAACGAGAACCTGAAGAAGCGTTTCGAGGGCCGCGAAATCTACACATACATCGGCCATGTCTTGGTCTCCGTCAACCCATTCCGCGACCTCGGCATCTATACCGAGCAGGTCCTAGAGAGTTACAAGGGGAAGAACCGATTGGAGATGCCTCCTCACGTCTACGCGATCGCTGAGGCATCATACTACAATATGAAGGCCTACAAAGACAACCAATGTGTTATCATCTCCGGAGAGTCCGGTGCCGGCAAGACCGAGGCGGCAAAGCGCATCATGGAGTACATTGCCAACGTGTCGGGTGGCTCATCCGGTGAGGTTCAGCAGATCAAGGAGATGGTGCTGGCAACCAACCCACTGCTAGAGTCCTTTGGAAATGCAAAGACGTTGCGAAACAACAACTCGTCGCGTTTTGGAAAGTATTTGCAAATACATTTCAACGGGCAGGGTGAGCCGGTGGGAGCGGATATCATCAATTATTTGCTTGAAAAGTCCAGAGTGGTTGGCCAGATCACAAACGAAAGGAACTTCCACATTTTCTACCAGTTCACGAAAGGCGCGTCGCAACATTACAGAGAGATATTCGGTATTCAGAAGCCGGAAACATATGTCTACACAAGTCGATCGAAGTGTTTGAATGTAGACGGCATTGACGATTTGGCGGAATACCAAGAAACGCTGAACGCCATGAAAATTATTGGTCTTTCTCAGGCGGAACAGGACAATATCTTTCGCATGTTGTCAGCAATTCTCTGGACCGGCAATCTAGTCTTCCACGAAGATGATAGTGGATATGCTGCTGTGTCTGACCAATCTGTGGTTGACTTCCTGGCATATCTGCTGGAAGTCGACTCAAAGCAGCTTGTTAAGGCTATAACGATCCGCATTCTGACCCCTAGAAACGGCGAGGTCATCGAGTCTCCCGCCAATGTTGCCCAAGCCACTGCTACCCGTGACGCGTTGGCGAAAGCCATTTACAACAATCTCTTTGACTGGATTTGTGAGCGCATCAACCAATCGCTCAAGGCTCGGCAAGCAACCAACAACTCTATCGGAATCCTCGATATCTATGGATTTGAGATCTTCGAGAAAAACAGCTTCGAGCAGCTCTGCATCAACTATGTCAACGAGAAACTGCAGCAGATTTTCATCCAGCTGACCTTGAAGACTGAGCAAGAGGAATATGCGAGGGAGCAGATCAAATGGACACCAATCTCCTATTTCGATAACAAAGTCGTGTGCGACCTGATCGAGTCTACTCGGCCTCCTGGCATATTTTCTGCGATGAAAGATGCAACGAAGACAGCCCACGCAGATCCCGCGGCTTGTGATCGAACTTTCATGCAGAGCATCAACGGCATGTCTAATGCGCATCTTACCCCTCGACAAGGCAGCTTTATTGTCAGGCATTACGCTGGTGATGTGAGCTACACAGTGGACGGGATTACGGATAAGAACAAGGATCAGCTTCTGAAGGGTGTACAGAACCTGTTCCAGATCAGCCAGAATCAGTTCGTGCATACGATATTCCCCCACCAGGTCGACCAAGACAATCGAAAGCAGCCACCATCAGCCGGTGACAGAATCAGGACTTCCGCCAATGCTCTAGTAGAGACCTTGATGAAGTGCCAGCCATCATATATCCGTACAATTAAGCCAAACGAAAACAAGTCGCCTACAGAGTATAACGTTCCCAACGTTCTACATCAAATCAAGTATCTTGGTTTGCAGGAGAACGTTCGAATTCGACGAGCTGGATTTGCTTACCGACAAAGCTTTGAGAAGTTTGTGGATCGCTTCTTCTTGCTGTCGCCAGCAACATCATATGCTGGTGAATACACTTGGCAAGGTTCTTATGAGGCCGCTGTAAAGCAAATCTTGAAGGATACTAGCATTCCCCAGGAAGAATGGCAGCTCGGAGTGACCAAAGCATTTATCAAGTCTCCCGAGACACTGTTTGCCTTGGAGACAATGCGTGACCGCTACTGGCATAACATGGCAACCAGAATCCAACGTATGTGGAGAGCATACCTCGCCTACAGAGCCGAGTCTGCCACACGCATTCAGCGATTCTGGAGAAAGAAGAGAGTTGGTGCCGAATACCTGCAGCTTCGAGACCAGGGTCACCGAGTGCTTGCTGGACAGAAAGAGAGACGTCGGTACAGTCTTCTTGGTTCGCGCCGTTTCTTGGGAGACTATCTTGGTATCAATGCATCAAGCGGACCTGGATCACAAATTCGCAATGCCATCCAGATTGGCAGCAACGAAAAGGCGATGTTCTCTTGTCGTGGTGAAATCCTTGAGGCGAAGTTTGGCCGATCTAGCAAACCTAGCCCAAGGATCCTCATTGTCACAAACAGCAAGTTCTACATCGTCTCACAGATGCTCGTCAACCACCAGGTGCAGATCGCGATTGAACGCGCAATCCCGCTTGGTGCTATCAAATTTGTCAGCACCTCTAAATGCCGGGATGACTGGTTTTCGCTGGGTGTCGGCTCTCAGCAGGAAGCCGATCCTCTGCTCAACTGTGTGCTTAAAACCGAAATGTTCACGCAGATGCAGCGTGTAATGCCAGCTGGGTTCAATCTCAAGGTTTCTGACCAGATTGAATATGCAAAGAAGCCTGGTAAGATGCAGCTGGTCAAGGTGTTGAAGGATTCCCCATCACCCGTGGACTTTTATAAGAGTGGTGGCGTCCATACTCAACCAGGCGAATCACCAAGTTCAGTCTCTCGTCCTACACCCAAAGGGAAACCTGTTCCCCCTCGACCCATCACCCGTGGAAAACTCATCAAACCTGGGGGTCCAGGTGGACGGCCCTCAAGGTATACACCCAATCGCACCGCTCAACCTCGGCCTTCGGCAGCAAGCTCTCGTCCAGTACCTCAGCCCGTCCCCAAGCCTCATTCCGTTTCTAAGCCTCATCCTGTTGCTGCTGCATCTACTGCAAGCATTCCGACTCACACTCGAACTATATCTGCGGGTCGTGTACCCCCTCCGCCTCCCCCAGCAGCTCCTCCTGCAAAGGCAAAGATCATGGCGAAGGTCCTCTATGATTTTGCTGGGCAGAAGGAGAACGAGCTGACAGTCCAAGCTGGTGATCTAATTGAGGTTGTTCAGAAAGAGAACAATGGTAAGTCACTTCCAATGGATAATTTAACACAGCCGCTGATCAATGAATAGGATGGTGGTTAGCAAAGAATGCTGGTGGTCAGGCCTGGGTCCCAGCTGCCTATGTTGAAGAACAAGCACCGGCACCCGCGCCTGCACCTAGAGCTCCTCCCCCTCCTCCCGCCCCTAACGGAGCTGCCCGGGGCAAGCCGGCCGCACCTCAACCACCGGCGAAACGCCCTGCTGCCGGCCGTAAACCGGCTGCCCTTCAGCCTCGTGATTCAGGAATGAGCTTGAACGGCGCGAATGGCTCGGATAGTAGCCGAAGTAACACGCCAACACCAAGTCTTGGTGGAAGCTTAGCTGATGCTCTTCTGGCCCGGAAGAATGCAATGCAGAAGAGGGATGAAGAGGACGACTGGTAATCTCATGATGATGTCCTAGACACGACTTATGAGCAGCGATGATGATGCCTTTCTTGGACTCAACGGAGCCTTTCCGCTCGATGGCATGGTTAGAACGGTGAATTTGTCCTCAGAGACTCATATGTTCTCCGGCTTATATCGGGGCACAAGGCTACAGGATGTGCCTCGCTGTGTCTTATTCTCAATATGGGAGGATGTGTGACTTCTAGACAGGCGTGCATTTGAATGCAAGCCTTTTGATCCTTTGATTAATTTTATTGCTTTTAAACCCCGATCTAGATGCTTTATTCGTCGTCGTCTCTTGTGACCGCTTTTCTTCTACGTATGAGCTCGGCCAGAGGCACATCGTCCTCATCTGGATCCACGGACTGGACGGGGACGATGTCGTCTTCATCCTCTGCGTCCTCGTCCACTCCGTAATCTCGCAGTCTATCTCCATCAGAATTGGTCCAGCCCGGTTCGCCGTCCATGCCCTGTTCGTAAAAGTCATCCTCGTCATCGTATCCCTCCTCCTCGTCCACGACATCGTAATCGTCCATTTCCTCCAACTCAGCAACGATGCCAGACCGCTGTGCTTGTCTTCGCTGCAGATCTTGTTCTTGCCTCGCTCTGAAGGCTGCTCTCTCCTCCTCGGGAGACCCCCATTCCTTCCCACCGAGCTCCTGCGCCTGGCGAGCCGCCGCGCCGGGCCATCCGGCCTTCGCCGCCCGTCGTATCTTCTCCGGGTCGAGAGGCGGCCACATGCCCTCATGCGGGTTATAGCCGTTCTCCGGCCAGTCCCAGCCCGTGCCCTTCCCGCCCGGCGCCACTGTTGGGCCCCCTGCGAAGGGGGAGAACCACGCCAGCGGGTTCGCTGTGCCCATCGCCTGCGTCATGTTTGTGTAGAAGCCGACATCGTAGGGGAACTCGACACGCTCGAAGCGCATCCCCTCGGCCGGATCGGGCGTCGAGCTCTCGAACCACGAGTTCCTGTTATACCGCGCCAGCACCGCCTCGTGGCGCTCGACCTCCCAGCCCTCGATCATCGTCGTGTTGAGCGCCCAGCCCTTGGCCGTTGTGAAGAGCAGGATGCCCAGCGCCAGCGAGACGGCCGCGCAGCAGAGGCCGAGCATGGTCAGGTGGATGAGGGCGCCGAGCGACGGGCCCAGGTACGCGGGCAGATTGCGGTTGTCCCAGATGGCGTGGGCGCGCTGGAAGAGGAAGTAGGAGAGCGTCCAGAGGCTGGTGTTGGTCCAGACGAGAAAGCGCAGGAAGTAGGGGAAGGTCTGCAGCGAGACGCAGTTGTTCGTCCACGGGCAGTGGTGGTCCATCTTCGGGATGCAGCGCGCACAATGCCGGCAGTGGTGAGCGCGAAGAGGTTTTGGGGCGGCGCACTTCTTGCACCAGCGTGCGGCGGCGGCTGCTGCTGCGGAGGCGGAGCCGTGGGAGTCATCGTGGCTGCTCGGAACGGTCGGCGAGGACGGCTCTTTGGCTGTCCTACTCTTCGCAGGCGAGGACGGAAAGGTGTAGCCGCCGGGGGAGACCGTGCATGCTTTGTAGTATGTCCACCACAAGCAAGCAAGGAGGGTGTTGAAGACGTAGGTCTGGCGGGTTGTCAACGGGCCGGGTTCTAGCTCGGCTACGTAGAAGAGCCATTGTGACGTATAGCCCAGGAAGAATATGAGAACACAGACGCCAGGGACAAATAGAAACTGAAGTCCCTTTTGTGCTGGGCCAGTAGTGAGGCCCGCCATTTTAATTTCGCTGCATCTGAGGTGTGTTTCGTTGCGGGAGATCGTGAAGCAGATATGCTCTTTGAAGTTGTGTATAGATCGAGACGAGGCTGACAACTTTGGGTCGTAGTCGCGTGTGAAGAGAGTAAGACGCGACGGGAGCAGGCGAGAGTCCATTAAAGCCCCTGTAACGCTAAGCTGGTGAGGCTTACGTAACTGTATGATCGACCCAAATTTCCCGTTTTTACAGGCTCCGTCACCGTTCGAGGCTGAGCCATCAACTGTCATTTGCGATGCAATTGTCACTTTACACCATTTCAACGACACCACAATACATTGACTCATCATGAGAATAGAGAAACGCAGCTGACTTGGTTTCCGCTTGTCACTTGTACTAGACGCAGGCTCCACCGATGACCGTATTCACGAGCCACTAAGTCTGTCCTCATTCACTGACCCACGGGCCAAATGCAGCCCCTTATTCCAGGGGTCCAGTGAATGTAGTGTCTCAACATGGTTGGCGGTAACGGGAGTCAACTCACAGCCATCTGGTAAGACCTTGCCGTCCTCAGCTCCTAGACCTCGTTCTAATCATTCAACAGTGCTGTCTCTTCGTTTTTATGGCTGTCACACAATTTTGAGAGGCACGCTTTATTAGGTAAGTACATGAGGTTATTGGTTGTCTCACAGACTGTGAGGTACGAGGTACAACAGGTCTAACGCATTCTGCCAGAGCATCCAAGGACATCAGAGCTTCTTCTTTTCATAATATCGGGAATTGTTGTTTTTGCGACAAGTTTCTTCGCAAAATGGCTCCCCGGCGCCAACGGACGCTTTGGTGAGCCGCTATTCGACTACTGCTATCTAGCAGAAGAGTGCTGACTGGGGCGCAGACGATGAGGTTGGAAGTCACAAGGGCCCATCGCTCGATTCGCCACGACGGCCTCGACGATACTTTCCAACTCTGCTAGTCTTTAGTATTGTTGCAAGACTAGAGATATTTCACTGGATGTCCGAGAATCAACAATGCTCGAGGCCAGGAGTCGAGGTTGGCAGTCACAGACATAAATAGAAGAGATGATGCTAATAATCCTACAGTCTCTATTGCCTCTATTACTCTTAGGAAATGAACTCTACCAAGGCCATAGGAGACGGCCGGCGGTAGAGTCTCCTGAGAGCTTTTCCAACACAGTCTTTGATGACTTCGCAGACTGGTTCAAAACAACACGCACGACTTTACTGCTTAGCACAATCCTCCTTGCCGTGGGGGCGTATCTCGCCATGTTTCCTACTATACGGTCGAACTATATTTGTCGCAGTAGCACAACTTTCATTATCTTCCCACAGTTTCTCGGTGTCGCTCTAGACGCCGCCATTATCACTCTGGTGTGGCGCATTGTAACATGGGCACGCACAACGAAAAGCCGCCTGAAGACTCTCAGTGGCATCCTCTTAGCATCTGCTTTCCTTCTCTGCATTGGCGCCATGGTTATTTCCCTTCTTGGTCGCCTAAAAAGTCCCCGATGGTCTGTCAGCAGTGCCGGGCTCGATTCACTGTACTTTTTCGACATATTCATCGATGCCATTGTATTCTCAGTCATGTTTGTCTCTACTACCCTCTTCGTTTGTGATTCAACTCCTCTTACATTAGCCGGGCTTATCACCGCCATGAGCGGCTTCGTTGCGTCATTTCAGAAAGCGACGACGTATGGCTCCTTTGAGCAAATATCCCGTGTTGACGCTCTCCTGCCTCTTTACATTCTCAGTATGGGCTTCACAATTTTCATTTTTGGTATCAACATGCGATCGATATTCTTCATTCGGCGGGTTTTCTGGGTCCTGATTATCTGTGTACTTTGGATCGCGGCTGCCATCCTTGTGCTCGTCAGGGGCCAAATATTGGATCGCCACCCATTGAATAAGTTGGTGTACGAGACGAGAGTGGAGGCTGATCGATGGCTTGTACACGCCAGTGTCAGCAAGTCGCTGCATATCGCAGTTCAGGAGTATCAAGAGCGCCATCATGGACGGGATCCTCCTGCCAATTTTGAGGCGTGGTACGGCTTCGCGAATGTCCGCGGCTCGGTCATCATCGATCATTTCCAGCAGATCGAGAACGACATATGGCCTTTTTGGGGCATGCAGCCAGCCAAGATACGTGAATCTGTCGACGCCCTTGCATCTGATCCCGCAATAGCTTTTGTGACAGTGAAGGATGGTATTGTCAGTCATTCAGAGACAAAGAATGGCCCGAATAAAGAGATGTTGGATGGCTTCGTGGATCTGATCAAACCCTTCGCCAAACAGCTATCCGACATGACACTCCCGGTCAACCTAGTGGACCGCCCGAGAGTTCTTTCTTCTTGGGATACGATACACCGTCTCACCAAAACATCGGAAAGCACTAAGTTTAAAGCATTGTCGCAGCGCTCAATCGACACTGATGAAACGATGCCTCTGGTAGAAAGGCAAAACACAAAAGTAGCTACCAAGCCAACGATCCTAGAGCGAGATCTAACACCCCCTTGGGTGCTACGAGAAATGGCGAGCCGGGCGTGCAGTCCCGGTTCTACAGCAAGCTCCGGAGTTCACTGGAACGTACGAGACTTCTGCTCGTCATGCACAAGACCCCAGTCCGAAGGTCTCTTCCTCAAAAATGTCGAGACTTCCGATAGGTTATGTCACCAGCCTGATATTACTCGACTCCATGGATTCTACATGCAGCACCTGACGCAAAAGCCGTTCACGGAATTAGTCCCAATATTCAGCAGGTCAAAGTTGGATGGGTTCAATGACATCTTGATTCCCTTGAACCGGCCGAATGATACCCAGACAGGCGACACGGGAGCGACCTTTAACTCCAAACGTGATCGCCTCTTCTGGCGAGGCCAGATCAATCAAGGGGTAAGCCTCACCAACGGGGACCTCTTCTACGGAGGGCACCAAGAGCGGCTCGCCCACTATATAAACAATGCATCTGTCTCAGATGAAGTCACGATGTTGTTGCCTTTACCGGACAATAAGAAAAAGCTCACATATGAGCATGTGCCGCTTAGAAAGATGGATAAAATCCTGACTTTTGACGTTGGCATTGGCGACTATGGAGGGTGCACAGGATCCAGCTGTGATGTAGCCAAGCAGGAATTCGGCTTCAAGAAGACGGACGTATCGCCTCTCAATAATAGATACGTCCTGTTGGTAGATAGCGACGATGCGCCTCCACGAGACATACTCCGCACGTTGCGCTCGACAAGCGTGCCATTCATAGCGTCTATATTCAAGGAGTGGTACACAGAGCGGCTAATGCCATGGATTCATTATGTTCCCATCGATATCAGATACCATGGCCTTCACAGCACGTATGCCTACTTTGCGGGTATAAGGGGGAAAGAGGAGATCAATGGCCGGCATATAGAGATGAACGCTCAGGCGGAAGATGCGAAATGGATCGCTGAGCAAGGCAAGCGCTGGGCTGAGCGGGCAATCAGAAAGGAAGACATGGAGATCTACTTGTTCAGGCTACTCCTTGAATGGGGAAGGGTTATTGATGATCGGAGGGACGAGATCGGCTTCGTGCTTCCAGAGGGCTCGAAATAAGAAAATCATTGTTATGTAGTGACAAATGGCAAGTCGACTATAGGTCTAAAGGAGTAAACATGCTCCCAGACATGCTCCCAGAAATGAAATTCCATTAGAGCACTTGGTCTGATCGCTTCGCACCAGCTCGTACTCAAGTCCGGCTACGGACAATTGCTGTTATCCTTGTGGCGAGTTTCTTGTGTTGGCGGTCGTAGGATTGATCCACCTGAAATGGAGAAACTGTCCAGGTAGATTCTTACAGTGTCAAGACCTCCATTCACCACTCTTTACCTTACTTCGCGGGCCATCTTCATTATCGGCTGTTTCATCTCCTCCCTTGCTCACCTATTCAAGTGTCCCAGCATAATGGATGGTCACGATATCTCCTGCACATCAGTCGAATCACAAGTCAAACTATAAAGCCGCTAGAAAGGAGAACATATGGAGGGAAAAGGCGCAGAGGTGAGGAAGAATTATTCGATGTTGCAGATAACTGATGGTAACCGAACGTGGGATCTTAGTCATAGAGACTCCTTCATAAAAGGATGTTCAGTCCAGCCCATGAACTTGGTCTGAATCTGCATGCTATCCAAAACGCGCTTCTTGATATCTGCAGCCTCAATGTCCTGTGTCAAGAACGCGCCGTGTGTGCTTTTGAATTCATAGTCCTTCAAAATGCTCCACATTCTCGCTATCTCATCTGCTGATAGAGGAATGAAGTTAGGGATACTCCACATGAAGGAGAAAGAGTTCATGCCCTCTGGACGACTTCGAGGATTCCCCAGTGCGTCCGTCTCCCAGCTTCCCATGCCAGAAGGAGTTGTCAGGAGAGTATCAGCGATCAGGAGATGGCCTCCGAAAAGCAACACCAAGCTTCCGGGGAAATGACCACCGAGCTTGATTGCCTTGGCGCCTGTCTTGACACCGTCAACCTCAATCTCACGCTCGATCGTGTCGAGGAGCACCTGGGCTGGGGAAGTCTGAGTCGTCCACACCTTGTCCTCCGCTGCAATGTACACGGGGCAATTGAAGGCCTTGGCCCACTCGAGGTGGGTGGAGTAGTAATGGGGATGAGATATAACGATAGCTTTCAGACCGCCAAGGGAGTTGATGTGCGATATGGTGTCCTTATCTAGCAGGCTGATGCAGTCCCACATGATGTAGCCAGCTGGTGTCTTGATCAAGCAGGCTCGCTGGCCGATGCCGACTTTCGGCGAGCTGACGATGAAGGTCATGCGGTCATCGGCTGCGTAGGAATGAAATTCATTCTTGTGCTTGGAACGGATGTCCTTCAAGGTCGTGAAGCTCTGTCCAGACGGAGGCGTGTACTGTCTAGGATCATCACAGATCTTGCACGTCTTCACTTCGTTCCGGTCCGCTGTAGGGAACTGAGTTCCACATGTGTTACAGACGAGCCAGTCCTCTGTGATTTTGAAATCATAAGAGGCCATTTCGGTGTCGACTTATATCGGCACTGACAGCGATACAATGCCGAACTTGTGAAGGAGATTAGTAAAAGAGGGTTGCCCTTACTTTGGACTAACCATTGCCGTAATATACTGGAGATAACATGGCCGTCTTACACGCCAGCGGCGCAAGTGTCCGGCCGAAATGCAGTCCGGAGGGCGGGGTCATTGATACGACAGGCTCGGAGCTGGCCGCTAGCACCTACCCTACCAAGAAGCTTTCCATGATGTTAGCAGCCAGACATTGTGGATTGAGAACCTGGAGCGTTGATGATGGCCTAGTTGAATCGTGGCTGGAATCAGCAAATGGCCATGAAGTGCTTCCCGGGCCATCGGAAAATCCTCTAGTTTCCTGTAAAGCGTGCTCTCGGACTCTTGCTATCCCACCAAGATCCGACAGGGGCGGGCTGCGGCACAGAAAACGTAGAGCCCATGTCAGCAGCCCCTTCGAGAATCAAGCGAATTTTGTAGGATCTTGTTGATATTTCTATCTATACGGCTTCGAATAGAATCGCTAGAAAAATGGCTGGGGCAATGGTAGACCAGGCCATTACGTTGCTCACCTCAGCTTTCTGCTCTACCACATCACTTATCATTGGCGGTGTCATCATTGTTGTTGTTTTCACCGATGCCATCCTGACGCCCCGTCTAGATTCGAGCGAACCACCGCTCCTCAAGCCTTCTATCCCCTTGATCGGGCATATAATTGGAATTATCCGATATCAAAATGAATACCATCGCATGCTCAAGTCTGTTGCCATTTGTCAGGATATCTGACGTGATGAAAGCTCGTTTGATGTCTAAGGAACTCCGAATTTAGAGAGTCAAGCTTACATCTTCTACAGTGAAAAGCACCAACTGCCCATCACGAGCCTACAGATGCTCTGGGGAAGAATATACGCCGTGTGGGATCCATCATTAGTGCAGGTCACTCTCCGGGCGCGAAATGCTAGCTCTGAGCCCTTCATCAGAGAATTCGCAGAGAAATCGTTTGGACTAAGCGCTGAAACTACTGCAAAGAATGTCGAGAGCCTTCCAGGAGCCTTCATCGACGCTACTCACGGTAGTATGCAGCCCAAGCATGTGAACGAGATGAATGTTATCGCACTCAACTACATCTCACGCACACTTGACGGTTTATGTCGCCATGGCGATGATGCATTTACTCTGACCGTGCCGAACTTATACCTCTGGTTCCGAGATATCATCACCCTCGCGACAACCCGGGCATTGCTGGGGAGGGAGAACCCGTATGAAAAGGATACTACCCTCATTCAAACCGCATGGTAAGTTCCTTATACCCTTCCTAAGTCACGGCCGTAACAGTGGAGATCAGGGATTTCGAGGCAGGTCTTGCCGACATAGTCGCTCGTCCCATGCCGTGGCTTACCGCTCGGAAAGCATTCCTTGCCAGGGGTCGTCTGCAGCTTGCTATGACTGAGTACTACACCTCCCAGCATGACGTGAATGATCCTACCGCGGCACAGATAACCAGGGACCGCGCGAATGTGCTTCGACGGTATGGTTTTGAGGGGCACGAGATTGCGATGGTCGAGTTTATGCTGGTCGTCATTGGCGTAACAAATACGGCACCATCCATGTTCTGGATATTCTGCTACATATTTGCCAGACCGACACTCGTCGAACGGCTGCGCGCTGAGCTGACCGGAGTGGTACAGAAGTCGCAGGCCGCGGGGAAAGAGGACACAGCGGTTATCAATATCACTCGCCTCGAGGCAGAGTGTCCTCTCCTATGTGCTTGCTATCGCGAGACGCTTCGTCTAATTGCTCACAACGTCAGCGTCCGCCGTGTGGTGAAGGATACCACAATCACACAAGCCCACGGCCGCTCATACACCCTCAAAGAAGGCGTTGACGTGCAGATTGCCCTAGGCATTCCGCACTATCTCACCAGCGTCTGGGGTGAGGACGTCAACGACTTCAACCCAGAACGCTTCCTTGATAGGAAGGGTGCGGACAGCGATAAGGCCAAGAAGAATGCCTTCATCCCGTTCGGAGGCGGTAGGCACTACTGCCCCGGCCGCAACTTTGCATTCACGGAGATCCTGGCACTGACATCAGCCTTTGTCATGGGATTCGAGGCTTCGCCGGTGGGCAAGGCTTTTGATGAGATGGAGAAGACATTACCTGTATTCACAACAGCTGTTGTGAAACCAGTCAACGAGGGTGAGGGCTTAGGAATAAAGCTGAGGAGACGGAAGGGATGGGAACTTACGAACTGGAAATTTGAGTCCTAAGTTGTCGTCGTAGCAGCTAGTACAGAGTCGACGGAGATTTGAATGTCATTCTCGTCACAGACGTTCAGCACTATCGAGCATACTTGTCGGCCTTCTTCCAAAAAGGAAATGCTGACTTCTCCAAAAGTTACATTTGTGTATCAGATCTTATCAAAGGGAAAATGAAATGAGTAAATGCACACTTCGAGGTAATAATTACTAAGGAAGTCTCAAGCAAAGCAGACGGGACGTGTTAGTCGTAGGCTGCGGCGGCGCATTCGGTGGAAATTGCAGCCGGTCCGATTTCCGTAGCCTGCCGCGACACTGCCGATCTCTAAAGCTCCTTCGATAGGAGCATTATCAAACTATCATCACCTTCTTTGCCCGCCCGCAGAATCTGCTGCTTCCAACGACGGGGCTTTTCGCAAGCCATCGATCCCGCGGCAAGCCCTCAAATGCTTCGCATACCAACATGACATGACCCCTGTCTGGCCGTCATGGAGATGTCAAGTTCTTCTGCGGCTGTCCTCACCCGACCTCGACTAGCTATCCTCACTGCAGCCGCCGCCTTCTGTGTGAGCATCTACTTCGTTCACCAGTCGCGCGAGACCTCACTACATCCCGAGCGTCATGGCGGCACTCTCCACAGAAGCAATGCCGTTCGTCGGCACCGCCGACGTCCTACGAATGCTTCCGAATCATCGGCAGCCGAGTCGCACGCTGACGAGAATGTCAATATCAACGAACTGCGCATGACCGATGGCGAAACTGTCGCCGCCGACGAACAGCAAGACGACGAATGGTGGAACGACCCTGCTAGTATGCCTCAGCAGCGTGCCGGTCAGAATATCGTCAGTCTGCTGTTCCGGGTGTCCGAGGACAACGCGCGTAGAAATGCCTACGTACACAGAGGCTGCATGTGTAATGCGTGCGGTATAGTCCCCATCCGCGGTATTCGCTACCGCTGCGCCAACTGCGCCGACTTCGACCTCTGCGAGACTTGCGAATCGCAAGGCCTACACATCAAGACCCATATCTTCTACAAAGTCAAGATCCCTGCGCCGCCGTTCGGCCCTCGATCCATGCAACCCGTCTGGTACCCTGGCGACCCCGACACCTGCCTACGAAATCTTCCACGAACGTTGATGGTGAAACTGTCGCGAGAGACGGGCTTCGAACGGCCAGAGCTCGAGGCTTTCTGGGAGCAGTGGACATTTATCGCGAACACCGAGTGGCGAGAAGACCCCGACGATCTGTGCCTGGCTATGGATCGGAAGACGTTCGAGAGATGCTTGGTGCCCTCGGGCGGACATAGACATACAGCGCCCAACTTGATCCACGACCGAATGTTTGCATTCTACGACACCAACAACGATGATCTGATCGGCTTCACGGAGTTCCTACATGGCTTGTCTTATCGGAAACGGAAGGACAAGCTTCGAAGGATATTCGACGGCTATGACGTTGACCGGGACGGCCTTGTCAGTCGACGCGATTTCTTGCGCATCTTCCGCGCATACTATGTGCTCTACAAGCAGATGCATAGGGACATCCTGGAGGGTTTAGATGACCAGGTTATGAACAGCACAGAAGCCCATCAGCTAGTCACTAGCCGCCAGCCTTTGAGCAGCCTGTTTGGGCGCGAGGGGCGCTTCCCTCAAGCTGATCATGGGCGACACATGGAGGGCAAGATGTACCACAGCAATGGTGATGTGACCATCGGTGACGGCAGGGATCGAGTGGTGAATGAAGATCAGCCAGATACAGGAGACCGAGACGAGATTCTCACAAGTCTCTTCAACCATAGGGGGAGTCATGGCTTGTTCATCGAGAACCCCTTCTCGCCAACCTCCGAAAATTTTCAATCTCCGAATGGCGAGATCCCATCCCACACATATTTCGACGCTTTGCTCAATCCACCCACACGGGTTGACGAGCTTCCCGCTCTGCTCGTAGGCGAGCGTGAACCTGAGTCCATGTTCATTAACGAAGAAGAAGTACAACAGAATGGAGAAGGCGGCCGCGAGAGCGGCAGTTCGGACGGAGAGAATGTGCCGAATCATAACGAGACTAACGGCGAAGTGCAAGATTCCGCGGCGCAGGAGTCTAGCGCCCACGCAATTGGCGAGAGGCGTCTCAGTGAAGTCCTCGGAAGGCAGCGCGACGACGAGCAGTGGACGAATAGAATTCCTACTGAGGACCAGCTTCGTGCTCGACACCAAGCTGTCGTTGCTAAGAGCCAACAGGCAGCCATGAATAGGAAGACCAGGGTTGCAGCACGGAAGAAGCTCTTGGAAAGATGGAAGAGACGCCAATTCTATCTTGATGAGGAAGAAGGAGCCTTGCCTCCCGACGGATGGAAAGATGATGACGATGTGCTCGTCAATACGAACGGAGGAGCTGAGAGTTCTGCTACTCCACAGATCCTATCTCCTAGGTCTCGGTCATCTTCCAAGGTGCGCTTTGCTGAGGATACTGACGACTACGAGATTCGCTCAAATCCATCAACCTCTTCTCGAAGTGTTCCTGAGCGATGGGGTGGTATAGATATCCCAGATGCTGAGAGAGATGCTGGCAAGGAGATCCTCTACCAGGTTACCCAACAAGCCTTTAACGAGCTACTTGACGTGCTCTTCAAGGCTAAGGAAGATCTTGCTGTACGTGCTGCTGAGACTAAGGCAGACCGGGACAGGCATAGGGTCCTCTTTGAATCCATCGATCTCGTCGAGGAGGCAAGAAAGAAGTCAGAACAGGCGAAAACAGTGGAGAACGGATGGGCTGAAGACACCACTGTAGGCGGCGAGAGCACACCCCTCCGCGATAGGCCCTTGGAAGAGTTGCTTGAAGTCACAGGATACTCCATCAACAGACCTCACGAAGAAGCTGCCGCGGAGGAGCCAATGCCAGAGTTGGAGGTCGTGGAAGAGATCTTGGCCGACGAACAGGATACAGACAAAGTCAAGAGCCCGGAGCCTACAGTCAAAGATGCTCCGGCAGCAGAATCTACTGACGAGAGCACGCTTGACCGTGATCCCACAATGCCTCAATTCCGCCCGAACAGCATTGCCGATCTGCAGCATCCATTTAATGTCACCGTTCCTGTCGCTACAGACTCCGAAATGAGCACACCGTCTACCGACGACGCCAGCTTATTTGAGACGTGGCCCAGTGGTCACTTGAAGTGGATAAAGACGAGAAAGTCGAAGGGGCTTAAGAAACCTCTTCCCACGCCGATTCCGCACTCGACTCTCGTCGAATGGAAGAAGCTAGATATGGCTGAGGAGGAGGCAAAAGCGCGCGGCGGCTGGGGAAGGCTGAAGTACCATGAGTTCGAGGAAATCTGCAGAAAGGAGGAGAGTGGGTCTAATAGGCTGGACTATCTGGGGACTTGGATCGACTTCTGCATCCCTTAGAGACGTGATAGAGGATGGCTTCCCTTGATCACCAGAAACTGGCAATGATTCAGAGGGTATGTGAAAATACTGTATATTTGCATGATAGGACAGGGAAAATTCAAGCCAGCATTGCTAATTTGCATTATCTCCGCATAATTAACTTGACAAAGTATAACTGGAGTGTGATGTTAAGTCTAATCTATTCTTGCCACGATTGATAGGTTCTCCGTACTACTCTTCGTCTGCTTTCGACTTGACCGGATTCTCGACCATCAGACCAAGGAGCGAATGGCCAACCTCAGCAGCGGCCAACACCGTTGTCTCTCCAGGATTATCGTATACGGGTGCGACCTCTACAACGTCTGCACCGACAACATCCAAGCCCCGAAGACCATCCAGGACAGTCAGGAGCTCTCGACTTGTCCAACCACCAGGTTCGGCCGTGCCGGTTGCTGCAAGGCATGCTATCAGCATGGGCGGACAAGAACTAGTGACATTCTACATACCTGGCGCATACGCGGGATCAAGAACATCAATGTCAACGCTAATATAGACTTTTGAGTCTCCTACCCGTTTCTTGATTCGTGAGATTACACCATCGGCACCCAGAATGTCCAGATCGCGTGCCTTGATCATCTCAAAGCCACAACGCAGGTCATTCCGTATATCGCCCTTACGTCGCATGATAGGAGCCCGTATACCAGCATGGATAGATGTGTTTTTGATGAGCCCCTATACAGTATTAGCCTTCCGCCGAAGGCCACGTAGGGAGGCCTTCTTACTTCCTCGTGTGCAATGTGTAGGAACGTTCCATGATTCAGACCTCTGGGCATTCGTCAGCTTTGTAGGCACCGTTTGGTCATAACAGTACTCACGCGTAGTCAGAAAGTCCACCTCCTAGTTGAAGTTAGCCAACGCTGGACCTATCTTACGATCCCACTGACCGCTTACCAATTACAGCAGGATCCCAGGTATCTAAGGCTCACTTAACAAATTGAATCTGAGGAGAAACAAGCTGACATTTACCTATATGACTGTCAAAGTGAATGACAGATACTTCTCCCCATCTTAAATAGGTTGACCTCAACGCCGAAAGAGTCGTGGTGTGATCGCCGCCGATCGTCAAGATCCTAGGTGTCTTGGACTGCGTGATGTTGGAAGCCGTCCGCCCTGAGATGACCTGCCGATCGTGAGTGATTCAGGTATCAGGGAACAAGTTGATGAGATGACAAACCTTATGAGCTTTGTCAAGCTGTCTCAGAGCGACATTGTTATCAAGCCATGTAAGCGGCGCATCCCCGCAGTCCACAATGGTCGCCCAGGAAGCGAATATGTTCTCGCCGGTGTAAATGCTCCATCCAGCTATAGGTGACATCCTTTGACTCCCCACCCGAATGCCTGAAGGTCCAAATCTCGCACCGGGCCGCCCAGTGGTAGTGGTGTCGAATGGCGCACCGAGGATGGCGATATCGTACTTCTTACCGTCCGACTCATCGTCCGAAAAGCAATTGACATATGGAAGGTTTGCAAATGTTTTTAATCCGTTGAATTGGCTGCCACTGACGATATCTACATCATCATCAATTGACATAGGATGCTGTTGATGCACACCGGCGACGGGAGGGAACTCCCAGGCGGCAGCCCCGCTAACAAGTGCCGCATGCAGAAGCGCCGGTATGAATGAACCCTTCATCATCAAAACGAAACAAAGGTCAAAATCTGAATAATGTTCGACCGACACAGTGCCTTGACGAATCAATCTCTCAAAACATAAAATCTCAAATATCGGGGGAGAATTGACGTCGGAGGGGGGACACTCTATTGAATGGCAGGAGACTCCATATCGGGAGGGCTTATCTGATTGCTTTAGTCACAATTGTGGCACTTCACAACACCTTAGTCAAAATCAATGTGTTGAGTGGGAACGATGTTTTCTGCTCCTCCGCCAGGGTGATACACGTGGATACCTCAAGCCTCGGAGTAAAGGGCGACAATACTATTGATGAAACTTATGATACCCTTGATGCCTTGGAGATTCAGTTTATCACTGTAGGTCTATAAACTTCTATAAACTAGTCAGCCTTGGTTGAGGAGGTGAGGATGCCCTTATCGAAGTAACGATTATTGTCCTGGCGGAGCAGCACACCTTTCTCCATGTTTTCAAGTTCATCGATCCTCAGGCGACTGTTACAGGCCCTGAGATGTATTGTACTGAGTTTTGTAGCACGTTCCACAACAACGATAGTGAATCATCTCAACTTTGTGATTGATAGAAACGCATTCACTCCAGACAATGCCCATTCATCACGACTTCAGACACTAGCTCGTGACGAACTGATTGTGATAGACACACAATAGCAAGCTTCCCATGTATATAATGCGAACAGCTCATCTGCACTATATGCTCATATGTAGACTAAAGATGTCCTTCCTCAAAATTCAAGCTCACATTCATTCAACATCATGGATCATACTCCTCAGCCTTCCAGCGACCAAAACCCTATTCCAGGGCATTCTCACCATGACACATGCGGAGAGGTTTGTGCGTATACGACGGATCAACCTCGTCCAAGGAAAACGGATTCGGTCAGCTCTCACGGACACCACCGCCGAAGGGCTAACAGAGATGGCCGGACGAGAACGACCACTCCGTATTCTCCCCACCGAGCGCCGTTGATGTCCAGCTCTCCGTACCCTCCTCGCCTTTCGAGAGCGAAGTCATCACATGTCCCGCACGGTGCCGCTTCTGTCTATCACCATGATGACGAACATCAGGATACAAGTCGGACAGACTACGACCGGCGGTGCCGCTCGCCATCTCCCGAGCCGGCGTCTGAGGGACACGAGAGGGCAGCGGAATCCGGTGCGCCGCCCGCACCTGGCTTGTATCGGAGCCAGTGGCTGCCTTCCCCGACACTTGAGCCGCTGGTCAAGCCCGACCAGAACACTTTCCTCCCTCTGCTCGAGATAGAAGCGCCGTCTCAGCAGCGACGACTGCAGCCATCTCATCCTGAAGAAGAGAGCGAAACGTTTAGTAGCGATCAGAAACTCTCGTCGAGAAAGTGAAGCGCCACGCGAGGAGATGAACTATCATCTTGCCCCAGAAGAGTTTCGATACCAACTTGGTAGTAGGGCATAGCTCCCTTGACAAGCACCAACAGGTCAGCCGCTGACTGTCAGTTTGAACTTGTCGCAGACCAAGATGCTGATTTTCCAGCTGGTCATTGACCTTCTCCATACTCAACTAAACAGTCGAGGTCTCTTCCTTGCTTCCAGCGAGAAGTCGGGCCTGCCCGACAGTGACAACTGGAAACCCTTGCTACCGTAGTAGAACATTCCACGAAGCGGTCAGAGAAGACAGTCCGCGCAGCAGTCATCTCCCATCACCAAGCCAAGCTACCAAGGTAGGCATACTGCGACAGCTTGGCCGGTCCCTGTCTGTATTCGCTTTCAAAGGATTCAGATCCAGGGACCTGCAGTTGACATCACGCTTGCCTACATACACACTTACACAAGCACACCATGTCCCCCAAGGCTCATTGTCCGTAGTAAAGCTCGTGCGGAGCGGAGCGACGCAGGGAGAGAGGAAGGGGTCGCTGTCAAAAGAGAGAGTTGGGGCCGTTTTCTAGAGCGCGTACGGTACCTCACTCCAAACCAGAGCTCCTCAATTGTTTCTAAATATATCCTCGTGCCTTAGTCTCACACGCTACGTCAACGACCCGCTACTGCTACTGCAGGTGCCACGGCTATGAGGGGCGTGGCCAAGACATTCCTTTCATTCTTCTCGAAGCTCTCTGTTCTTATCGAGGCTGAAACACTGGTTCACATGGCGCAGAGGAGGGGGCGGCGCGCGCATTCTAGATGAGGGGTTGGGTTGTGTGAGCAAGACGAACAGATTTCAATCGCGATTGTTTGTATGTTGTCGCACTCATGGGTAAGCTACTCTAATTCTACAAGTCCGCGAAAACAGAAAAACGCCAGTAATAATGATTTGAACCCGTTCTTTGCAAAGGACAGTGGAATTGACCTTGCAGGTATTGCTCATTCGCACAGAAAGGAAAGGAGCTCATTCCATCGTCCGGCCTCAAAAAACAAGGAGGCATGTTCAAATGATCATACCAGTATATCATCGCCCAGAACGCCACGCCATGCCTCAAAGGTCAGAACGCAAAAGTCGCCGCCGTAGTAGATAAAAAATGATGATCCCAAGTCCTGTCAACGTTCCCACATGCCGTCATATGCCAAAACCAGACTTTTTGGTTGATGCCTCATGTGAAGACTATCTTCCACTAAACACATAAGTGCAATGCAGCCTGAAAGGGCGACCAAAGTAGAAAAGAAGTAACACCCAGGTATCTCTTAAAAATGCGGGGCAGGCTGTGGAGCAAAGGAGTTCTCGTGAGAAACGAATAGATAATTGTACACTGTTTTAGACAGTAGAGAAGAGGAAATGAGCTGTGAGCGCCTTCAGCTGTCAACCTTCAAACGCTTTGGCTCAGTGCCAGGCTCAATGGGATCTGAGGTCGGGCCGTTGGCACTAGGGTCGGGGCTCTTCCTCTTATTGCTGTGACTGTTGGAGGTTGGATGATTGGGGTCATCCCTCAGAAAGCTAGGCCCAGTGCCGACCACCGGAGTAGCGAAGTTCAGTGGGCTAGGTAGAGTGTTGCTATCGCTCCCCCGAAAATTCCAGTCCGGATAGAAGCTGCTGGGGCTTGGAAGAAACTCGTTATTGAGGAACCGAGATGGCAAGGCCGAGACAGGCGTTGTATCAAGGTTCATATGCTGAGAGTTGGGAGGCGGCCGTGCGAAGGGATTTGGAGGGCCGCTGGCACCAGCAGACAGAAGAGCAGAAGCAGAAGGCGATGGGGGAGGCAGAACAACTCCCGAGGAATGGGAGTCAGTATTGCGCCGGGTTGCCTGAGAAGTCGCGTCTGTGGAATGGCCAGGACCAGCGGAAGTTGACTCAGCTGTGGCACTGCCACCATCAGAGGGCTCGTCAGGGATTTGCACCGTGAGGCGGGGCCGGGAAGCTCCACCGACACGCAAGCTATTAGAGCGTGATGGCGGTGTGAATGTTGTCTCGGGAATGGACGGCACCGAGATTTGACGACCCTTTGGAAGAGATGCAGCAGTATCCGACCTCTTTGGCACAGGTGGCGACGTTGTTAAGTTGCTTCGCGAAACACTGCCGACATCTATTGATTGCGAGCGATTCCCATTGGCCTCAGCCTTCAGCAAGGGTTCGTTATGAAACGCCGCGAGATGCTGAGATAGGATGGATCGATTCTCATCAATGGGAGTGAATATGCTGTGCTGCTTTCGCTGAGGTAGCTTCTTGATAGCAGAATTGGTGTCCAGCAAGGGTGGCTGCGGGCGATCTTGCGGCCCTTCAGCTCGAGGTTCTACTGGCACCGGAGGCGGCTCCTGAATCTGTGGCGGCTGTGGTTGAGGTGGCGGTTGAGGTGGACTCTGCATTGGATGATGTTGCGGCTGAGGTGGGGAAGAATGAGGAGCAGGCTGGGCGGGAATCTGCTGGTGATGCTGTGGAGGAGAAACAGAATGTCGAGGACCAGGGGGTGGGGGTTGTTGCTGTTGCTGTTGCTGCTGAGGAGGATAATTGGGCGGTAGAGACGAACGCCGCTGATCTTCCATGTAAGGTTGCATGTGAGGAGCAGCATGGGGAGGAGGCGGTGGTGGATATGGGTATTGAGGTCCCGGTTGTGGCATGTTAGGAGGCATATTCTGGGGATTCTGAGGGTTGTAGATGGCTGGGTGAGGCATGAAAGCGTATCCATTGACAGGAGGCCCCTGTGGAGGACCAGGAGGCCCTACAGGCTGAGGTACCATATTCGGTCCCATCCGTCTCATGTCATTTCTGGAGCCAGGTCTGGATCCAATTGGTGGTTGGGGTGTGTGGCCTCTCTGGATGTGCTGAGCAGGATGCTGTGGGAAGGCAACGCCATTGGGAATCGGCGGAGACGCTGAAGGCGTATGATGTCTCATGTGCGGGGGAAATTGGGGCTGGCCTTGGAAATGTTGTGGCATCATATGAGCCTCCATTCCCTCCCCGTGAGGGGGAGTGCCCTCTACATCATCCTCATCGTCGTCGTCCCCTCCGCCATTGAAGTCGGCAGGGCCCTTGTGCTCGCTCGGACCACCATGCTATTCCCGAGTCGTCAGCAAAATTGCAAGCCATCAAGCCATGGACTGTACTCACATATGTGTATCTTGTGATCAGCTCGCGCATATCACACGAGGAGTACTCGTAGAGCTTCTTGTTGCTGCCGAAGATGAAGACGGCAACATCGACAGAGCAAAGCACGGAGAGCTCATGCGCCTTCTTGAACAGACCGCCCTTTCGCTTCAGGAAGGTGCTGTATGATGGAAACGCGATTAGCTTCGGTGTGGCAGAAGAGACAAGAGAGCGCAAAGAGTTTGCGTGACTCGCGAGGACTTACACAGAGCGATTCCTGTCATCCTTGATGGCTTTGATCTCAATCTTTCTGCGACCCATTTTGGCGAGTCTGCAGCTGCTTGACTTGATCTATCCCGAGCGCTGGCAGCGGGGAGGATGGGATCAAAGTCCTGATAGAGGACGAAGCTTTATCGCCACCGGCCTTGAAGCCAGATCGGCTGGGTATGAGATGAAGCCGTAGGCGACGTATTGACGGCGACGATGTCAATGAAGCTGGAACGAAGGATGGTGGGCCGCGTATGGGAGTCAGTCGACTCGAAGCTCGAGGAGGAGGACGAGGAGGTGGTCGAGGCGCTCGTGGATCCTTGGGATAGAAGTCGTAGCCGTGAGCAGGCTGCTGTCGAGGCACAGAGGAGGGCAGCAGGCGAGCTTTCTATTGTAGCAGCGCTGGACTGGGCGAGGGTGGTGATGATGGGGTCGCAAGATGTGAAACACACGGACGCTGAGCTGGCGGAGGGACCCTTTTGTGCGTTTGGACGACGGGGTTGAGCCGCGATAATTGGCGACTGGTGTTGAAAGTAGCCTGGCAGCGAGGCTATAGTGTAGAGCTACTTGCGCGCCGTTTGGGATGGACTGGGCGTTGTGGTGCAGGGCGATGGGGCTGAATCTGGATGGTTGATTCTAATAATAGACGGATCGTGTTCACTTGGGGTTTGTGTGCGGGAGGGGAGATAATCGATGGGAAGGGGAGCGAAGGGGGAGAAAAAAAAAGAAGGGGACTGGACGGGGACGGGGACGGGCGACGTACGTGGGAGGAGTGGGAACTGTGACAAGAATGACGGCAGGCAGCGCAGTGCAGCGCAGCGCAGCCATGCCTACCTACCTACCTACCTACCTACAGTACCTACCTACGCCATACGGTCGGTCGCCAGCAGCCAGATAGACAGCGAAGAGAGGCGGGAGGGGAAGGTTACAGCAGGCCTGTCTGTAGCGTACCTAGGCGTGCTAGGTACTGTGCCTTAGCTAAGGTACTTTGTGTCTTACGGTAAAAGGCAGAAGTGGGCCATCCCGACTGTTAGGGCACACCGGCAGCTGAAGATGCCAGGCTCTACCTACCTTACAGTAGGTATAACGTTTTTCTTGTCCTCCATTCAGCCACGCTAATACTACTGCTAATTCACGTCAGGTAGCCTAACGGACAATGGAAAGGTGCCTTGAGCGTCGCGTTTCCGTTTCCAGGTGTGCCAGTCCGTTCCATGACCCTGGACCCTTGTCCTTGTCCTTGTCCTTGTCCTCTTCATTCCCCAGCCCTCCTCTACGCACTTCAGGACAGCTCCAATCCTTCCACTCATCGCCGACTTGTGACACTACACAGACGGACGAGACGGCAGGGCAAAGTGGTCAAAGAAAACAAAACGAAACACGACGGCCACCACGGCCCTATCAATGCTGGTGCGTTGCACATTGGCCCCGTTGGGATGTAGGACATTTCCCATGGCCCTTGCAGGATGGCCCTGGATCAGCGAACAGATGGTCTCACAGCGCAGGACCGCAGGGCAGATGGAAGGGCTGTACATTTCCCCATCCTCCAATCACGACTCTCCATCCAGACCTTCTCGAAGCCGAGTCTTTTAGTGTAGAAGAGACTGTGTTGGGCCTCTGTGTCCCCAGCCATGCTCCTTGTCTTTGGACAAAGCCACTCGTCCAAGGCTGGCCCGTGACACCTCATTCCCGCTTGGGATCAAAAGCAGTCTCTTCAGAACACAGCTTCTGGCTTCCTCGAGCTCCCAATCTTGTCGTTTTCAAGTGTGTCATGGACGCGACACGGTTTGGCCAATCTACGACCCGGGGAGACAGTAAACGGTGAAAGAGGCCGTTTTGGTGGTCAGCCTTCCTTCCTGTTTGCCGAGACAAGGGTGCGGGACCCGGTAGAATTCAGTTTGATCCAATTCAAACAGCTGGATGCGAGTCTCTTGCATGTTGCAAAGTGCCGGAGCAGGTACCTGCGACCGCAGTCCTCGCTTGGGAGAATACGCCCCGCCACCCCGCATGTGTTACGAGGTACAATCAACATAAGCTTGCTTGCTTGCTCCCTCTTCATTGCCGTCCCGTTGTTGTTGAATAATCTGCAATTCCGTTTCGATCCTCCCAGCGCCGTTCCCGCCCATCCACCTCACTCGCTTCGCTGCACTTCACTTCACCTTGCCTTACCTCACCACCCTAATGACGATGCTGCTAAGGCTGCTGTAGAACCGCACGGCCACTGTCTACGGCCTTACCAAACATTTGACTCAGCCTGTCGAGAATCTGAATCTCAAAGGATCAGGGCGGCTAGGCGCCGCGCGAGTCTCTCCTGTCATCATGGCTGTTGCCGGTGAAGATTACGTCCAGGAACGGCTAGCACACCAATTCCAATTCACATGCATATTCGGCCGAGTGTCGAGCAAGGCTGTATAGAGCTATGTTTCAAGGTACGAGGTCGAGGTATCGAGGATGTTTGGTCCGAACTTGGCACCATCTCCACTTTGTGTCTTTGTCGCATCATCCCGCCCTGTAACTCGCACTTGCAAGGGCTCCTCTGAATGATTGACATCGATAGCGTCTGGGTGATCCATATCAGGAACCTTGAATGTTACCCTCTCATGGGTTCCAACTGTATCTCTTCTCAGAATTTCATGTAGGTCTTGTGCTCGTCCATCTCGACGCGACAGAATGCGAGGTGCATCCAATTTACCCAGTCAGACGTTTATCGAAACAAAATGCATACCGGGGGCCTTGCCGACCCCTGCACGGACTATTTTGATGCTCCAGCGACTACGATCGCCAAATCATGCTGTACCATTGCTATCTTTGATACCCCAAAGTGATCGCTCAATCGTTCAAAATGCTCAAAATCCAAGAGACTTGGAACTAGTGGACCACGAACTGCATGCACCATCAAGGGCCGCCGGAGTGGCCTGGAGGGATACAGATCCTAATCGGGCCATGATGCCGGTTGAGAGGACTGCTCGCGAGGTGTGTCTCGTGGAGCTCACGTCGACTCGTGCAGATCATGGAAGCATCGAACGATGTACAAGCTGCAACAAAGGTGCTTCTTGTCATCATTCTGTGCCGTGCCAAGGCATATCCAGATGGTGGTCATGGTGGGCCATCCCTCCCTCGAGCAATACAACCGCCAAGTGGGCTAACAATCTGCATTTTACCCAAGCCATAGCCGCTAACTGGGATAATTGCTTCAGAGAGTGTCCGCACCAAGAAGGCCACCCAGGTGCTGAGGATAGGATAGTTCGAGGAGGAGGAGGAGGGGTGTCCTGGCATTCGCATTGGCCCGAGGGGACGAATTGCTCTGCAGGGCGAAACGTCGCGGTGATTGGCTTGGCTTGGGCTGCCTCGGCGTGGTGGTTGTTTCTAAAAATACCTATTTTTAGATGCCGGGTCAGATCTAACCGCCCGGGCGCTTACTGGGATGTTTTCGAGGTTCGAACACACACTATCTCATTATCTAACTGCCTCTAACAGCTCTAGCATCCGTTCGAGAATCCACTCCGGGACTTCCTAGAGGCTGGAAGACAGAAAGACAGAATCGACCAAGGTGATTGAAGGTGTGATGAATAGACTTGTCAACGTCTCTTGATGCCGGACCGGTACGCCCCACGCGCAATGTAATGCATGGATATGGATGCCACGCATCGCTCGCATGGAGCTTGCTTGGAGAGTATGTTCCTGTCAGCGGAGCTCCCAGTCATTCAATCAGTCAAAGAGTTAATCTATCGGCGATTCACTCGGAGCGCCAATCGTGTTGCATCGTGACTGATGATCCATCATTTCCTTCACCATCACCGTCCTGCCTGCTTGCCTGCCTCGTCGCCTATTCAATCAATGTAGTTGCCGCATTCCCTCCAACCAACCAATTTCGAATGCTCGCCCGGCAAGTCTTACCAGCCAGCCTCCCACCCCATCTGCGTCGCGCTCATCTACGTGCACTCGGCGCTCTTGCCGAGCCGACCTACTGACTGGACGTACAAACAGGCGCAGGCCGCTTCTAACGCGGCCAATAAGGCTGAGCCCCACGGCAGACGATGTGCCCGAATCGGAACTGCAATACAACATGGCCCGAACCATACTTATCACCTGCACACACCACCATCCACTCACCCAATTCTTTCAAACACATGCATGCTTCACCAGCTTGTGTCAAGTGCACTGATTTGTCAAAAATATGTTACTCGAAGCAAGGCACGCAGTCCACACAACCTTTAACCAGGTATTTCAGAGCTGCACTTTGCAAGTTGCTGCATGGCTGTTCTAAGTATAACAACGGGAAGCCTCTTTACCCTGCATCGTCCGTTTCGTACCTTGCTTAACCGCGGGGCCACGCTTCCAACCACAGGGCTGGGCTGGGAGGCTCTTCTGCCCTGGGGGCGCACACACCCCTGCTCTCCTTCCGGGAGAATGCCTGCACTTCAGGTCTCCACGAACTGGTCGCTATCGACCTCCAAACGTGCCTCTTGTGGGCAGTACATGTCCCCAATGTTCAATAATACTCCCACATATCGTGCCCCAACCAGGCACGATGCGACCCTAACAAACGGGCGAGGTGGCCTCGCTTCCAATTTTGGCTGCCCTTCGCTGCAGAAATTCCAGAAACCATGCCGCCAACGCCGTCAATGTTCAGCATTCTTTTCTCATGCATATGCATCCTCGCGTAGAAAGTATTTCGGGAATTCATGTCGGGCGTCAAGTAATGTCAGATGCCATCTGCTACCACCCGCCATGCGTCATGCTGGCGTGTGAACCGGGTAACGAAAGAGTAGTCGGGGAGAAGTCCTAGAGAAAACGTCCTGTCCAGAATCCAATTGGCTAGCTGCAAAGAACAGCTAGGTGGGAATCTTTTTTAAGCATCGCCGTAGCTTCCGATGCCATCGTTATTGGCAACATCAGGTCGGATTGTTCCATTGAGCAGTGGACAGAGTCTAGAACGAGGGTGATCGAGTCAGTAAGTTTGATAATAGCCAGTTGTTGTGATCTTTGACTCAAGTCAATGCTCTCGCGTGCAAGAAGGGCAACACCGGACAAGGAAAGAAGGGATAAAATTATGAGGGAAGACATAGGAAATGACAAGCATGCAATAGCAGCGCTAGTCTCGGGAGATCTCATCTAAAGAAATGGGGTGTGTACTTCTTGTTGGTCTTGATATGGCCAACTTGACCACAATTGGCGCATTTGCGAGTCGTTCCGGCTGCCTTGCCCTCGACTGATGGCTCAGGCGAGCCTCCAGAAGGATCAGCAATGCCTTTGGCTTGCTTCTTCTGCTTCTCGCGTTGGTGACGGCGCTCTTTGTTCTTCTCGAGACGATTCTGTTCCCTCTCAATCCTAGACAGATTGTTAGTACCTCAGAAGATTGCTGGACCAAGTCCACATACTTTTCGATGATTTTGCGGTCGGCTTCCGCGTCTCCAGTGAACTTTATATCCTTACTATAAATGCTACAAGAATGTCAGCATATCAATCCAATGTAGATCGCCGTAGAAGGCGGTAGAGTCTCAACACTTACTCCAGAGTTTCCTCATCTAGCTGACGCCTGGACTTGATGTATTGCGCGATTACACCGGGATCTTCCACGATCTCATCAATCCACTCCTCTGTGCCGTCGGCACGATACTGCTTTCGCTGAATTCTCAACTTTCTCTTGCCATGCCTCGTGCTTGTTGCACTAGGACGGCTGAAGACACTCATGCTCTCATCGAACCGCGGGGTAGCGGCAGGCTGAGTCTGTGGATAAAGACGCTCGTCCTCGTCCTCTTGAGGCTGGACATCTGCGTCGTCATACGTAGTAGCATCTTCAAGAGTTTCCTTCTGCTTGCCCCAGATGTCATTGATGACTTCCTGGTACGCAGCCTCTTGTTTCTTGACATTATATGAGTGACCGTTGTTCGCCTTGCGCTCGCGCTCCATGGCATCTGCAGATGTAGCATGGGATCCCAGCTCGTGCAGTACATTGAGGAAGCCGCCCTTCATAGAGGTCTTGATGAAACTAAAGCCAAGGCCTTTGCCTGTTGGGTCACCCTCACCGCGAAGCTTGAGCATAGCCTTCCCCGAAGTTGCATCAATGAAAGCCTTTGTAGTCTTCCAAGGCGCCAACTGATTGGCGAGGTTATCATTGGTAGGCTCGGCGTCGTCGTCATCTTTGTCCAAATCTTTTTCATCAATAGTGAAACCGCTCTTCTCGACTTCGTACGCGCCAATCTGCATAGCATCCATCAGGCAAACATCCTCAGGCTGAACCATGGAGTTAATGGTATCAGGATCCATGAGCTTCTCGCCTTCGTTCAGGCCCCAGCTTCGCGACTCCTTATCGTAAGACAAGAACTCCTTGAGCTTCTGGCGGTTCTGCGCGTCGTTGGAGTCCTTGACATGCTCGGTGATATCGGTCAAGCCCACGGCTCCCTTCTTGGTGATCAAGCGGTAAGACAACATCTTCAGACGGTTCTTGCTCGTATTTGTAACCTTCCTCGAGTGCGGACCAGGCACCTCAATAGAAGGGAAGTTCTGGCCCACAACGAAGAGGTGGTCAATCTTGCGTAGATAATAGTTGGACTGACCCAATCCAGTACTGCTACGACCAATGATAAAATCCGTCTTTCTGGGAGTATGCTTGAAGACCGGAGCGCGATACATCTGATTCTGCAATGTCGGCACAATCTCGCCAGCATTGACACTTCCGAAGATGGCAAATGGAGACCTGTCTTCAGCGAGAAGAACCTTGTTCTCACCAATTTCGAGTTTGACGGGCGGCTTCTCGTCGTTACTATCTTTGACTCTGTAGTAATTGATGACGCGGTTGCCCATGCCAAAATTGGACAAAACTGTCGGGATCTCCTCGCAGTATTCGAAAAGAACTGCCGTTGAATTGTCATTCAAGGTCAGATCTCTAGAGTGTTTGTAGATATCCTGGATCTTCTGCCCCTTGAGGTCTTTCCTGCGAAGCTGCTGGGGTTTGACGAAACGCAGATCGTTCTTAATGTTCTTGCGAACCTTCAAGTGCGGGCGGTGATAGTTGAAAGGATTAGGATCTGTAAGCTTGACCAGGTAGTATGGCCACAGAAGCTTGAGAGCAGGAAGACTGTGCTCGACTTGAACTCCGCCAAGCGTGGCTCGAACCTTATCCCTGACATTCTCTTTAAGAGCCTCATACGCATCATCGTTAGAAAAGTTGAAGCGTTCGAAGATGTCTCGGGCCATCTTGCCATCAGCCATACGCTTCATCTTGTGATTCTGACGCGGCCGTTTGGCGGGGCGCTCTGATTCCATGTCGTCTATCAACAAGAACGGATCGTTCATATCAAGACGTACGCGCTTGGCACTTCGCTTCGTGGCTTCATCGAACTGGTCGAATGAGGGGGCGACAAATCGGGATATCTCGGGAAGGCCCTTCTCATGTGTGACTTTGCGCCGTTTCGTCGGGGGGTCATCGAAGCCCATGGCTCTGTTCCATTCTTCATCCTCATCCGGCTCGCCGGGCGGGAGAGATGATGTCGCAGGTTCATCACGTCTGACAGCGACAGGAGGGTCTATGATGGAGTCCCAGTCCAAGCAGACCGTCTCAATGTCTTGCAAAGTGAATCCACCCACAAGCTCGAAGTCATCTGTCGAGTCCACCTTAAAAATCTCGAGATCTGCTTCATCGACACGTTCTGGGACAAGGAGCGACACGAGACCTGCGTTCTCTGCCGCCTGAATCTTCTGCTGGATGCTGACAGAGGTTGGACCAGGAATTCTGAATTGTTTCTCCTGGTCAACATCGATGTCGAGGCTGAGCTTGGTCGGAATTAGAGGCTTCGGCGGCTTGAGAGACTGCTTCGGAATCCAGTTACATTGCCTGATCTGGATCAAAGCATTGTAATCCAGTGTTACGCCTCTCGTGAAATCGGGAAAATGCAACTTGCAAGCTTCCGCATCGTCCGCGATCATACCAGGTAACTTCTTGTCTTGGAAATTCAGAGCTCGCAGCTCTTCAATAGTTTCCCGATGGTCTTGTCCTTCTTGCCACTTCCTGATGTATTCTTGTTCTGGGGTCTCTTGGATTTCCGGTTGCGGTGACGGTGGAGCGTCGGGGAGCAAAGGTGAGGACTCTCGACCCTCGCCGAATAGATCGTCGACTTCATAGCTCGTACCGCCATCGTCGGTCAAACTGGGGAGCTCGGCGGAGGCGCCACCGCTGGGCTGTTCACTGGGTTCCTCTTCATCGGGCAGATCCTCGTCACTGAGGTCAATATCCTCGTAATCGATGGCATCTTCGGCTTTCTTCGACTGGTCTATCTCGAGCGGCTTCTCCGAGTCCAAACCGAGGTTCACGTTGGTGGTATCGCCAAGCAGCGCTTGGATATTGGCTTCGTCTCGGGCCTGGGTCTGAGCCCAGTCCTCCTCTTCCTCCTCCTTGGAGGAGAATTCGAAAGACATGTCTCCGTCCATGGTGTTCTCGGATTTCGTCGCGCGCACCCCCTCAAACTCCTCCAGGCTGTTGCGCAAATCGCGGCAGGTCAGATCATCGTCTTGCGCCCAAGAAAAGCTGCAGCGACGGTGGAGAAGACGGCAGACAACTTGGGCGATCGGTCAAAAAAAGCCTGAGAAGGATGGCGGCGGTTGTGATTTTTAAAGAATAAAAAACGGGAATGGAGCAGCGTGAGTTTGTCAGTAGGCAATCACGGATGCTTGGAGATCTGTTCGGCGTTAGCGTGGCCGACTGCCAGGTGCAGATGCGGCGCGACTTGTGGCCTGAGGCCACTATGAAATCGAGCAGGCCCGTGTTGGCGGGGTTTAGGCGGCTCTTGCCTCTTGGCGAGCAGGCCCTCCACAACGATCGTTTTAGTGGAGACTTGGGGCGTGAGGTTATTGTGTGGTGGAAGTAAGAGTTGTCTGCTGCTCCACCACAGTCATACAAGTTATTCCTCATCGGTATCATTACATCTTCAACAAGAGGTTGCTCCCTTATTGAATTCAGGGAACAGACGATAATAATCAAATATTTGCGGCTCCAGTGAATATCATGACCCATATTATCTAGTGTCTCAAATTTTGAGGAACTAACCTTTATCACCCCAGCGAAAGGAGTGCTACACTTAAAAACTTGTATCACAGCGTTGTGGGCATCAAACTTACCGTTGTGATATGTTAGACAATCACTCGCAAGTCAGCCACAGTTGCGCAATTTGTTTTAGCTTATGCATGACACACAAATCCTCTTGCTTCCTGTCCTCTGACCATCTGTACACATGGCTCATAAGAGGTATTCCAATCGAAGAAGTCTCACAGAAGAGAGCGAGTGCTTTGAAATAGGTCATATTATGTATGCTACGGTACGCTATTACAATTGTGTACAGAGTAAAATAAGGAAAAGACCCTTAGGGTATCAAGTCTGTGAATTCAACCTTCCAATGAATGCTGTGTTTTTTGCCCAACCCGACTCCCATAAACCTGCGCCAATACATTTGTAAATATGTCTAATCAGAAAATCGTCTTTTCAAGTAGTGTAGTCTCCACGCTCATATCCAGAGGAGCCAGCGTACACCCCCAACCACCCCTCGTCCAATAGCAAGGAAGATTCTGGCAATCATCACGACGAACCATACATACCACATGAATCCAACAAGGAGCCACTCCACAGCAAGCCAACCGGCTCGTCGCACCCACCTAAAGCGCCGCCGTCTGCGTTGGAGCAACTTCTCGATGGTGTCGACTACCAGTTTGACCTTCAGCCGCTGGTTCGCAACCAAGTCCTTGTTCACCTCATCTGCCTCGTCTGCGGCAGTCCGTGTCATGGATGTGAGGTCTAGAGCTACTCTGGCCCGGAGCCCATCGATGCGCCGTTGAAGATCAGGCGTGGTCTGCGTAGCGAAGATATCTGCAGCTTTCTGCCATTCCTGGGCGGACGCTTGTATGGACGAGCCGAGGAGCCGAGCAGCCATAGGATGGAGCTCCAGTTGCGAGATTGGCTGATTGGCGAGCTCACGCTGATTTTCTGGGGTGAAGGCTTTGATGTCTTCCCACGAGAAGCCGGCTTGGTTCGCATCTCCTCCTTCGACAACGTTCTTTGTTTCATTACCAGTCAGAAGCCGTGGTTGGTGGGCCCGGCGAGAGATATCCCTTGCCATGATGCCCGAGCTAAGCATCAGAGCGCGAAGACGGGCAATTTCACGCTTCGAAATGGGCGCGTGCCCAGTCGACATGCTTTGTGCAGAGATGGACCAATGACGTCCATCGGGACCAGTCGATGTAAACTGGTAACCACGAGATGGCGCAAACGACTGCGGCATGGAGATCACAGCGTTCAGCCGAGCATCTGCGGCTTTGATGCCTTCGCTGTAACTCCCAGTACGTGAATCTGTATCTGACACAGACACTTCACGAGCTTTGCGGCCATCCGGTCCAGGTGATGGCGATGGTGAAGCATGCTGCACATCAATCTTCGGGGGCTTGAGCAAGTCAAAGCGTGATGATCTGCGGCTCGGTGGACGAGATGAAGATGGAACGGCAAGTGAGGCTTGTTCACTCGAGATGGACTTTTCATGATTCCCCAAAGTCGGAATAAAAGGGGGCATAACGTCCAGGAAGTGCTTCGATCCTTGCCTAGAGTGCGATGCAGGTTCCAGTCGAGTTGAAACTCGAGACAATGCGGCCGAGTCAGTGTGACGGCCCCTTTTATCTTCGTCCTCAGATTCATCGGAGGATGTGCTAGACGATGAAGTATCATCTTCCTGAGCATCAGAATCCCTGCGCCAGAGTAGTTCGCTGACCTTGGAGACACCGCTACGAAGAACACTATCAATTCTGGGACCCTTGAATAGGCTTCGCAAACCGGAATCATCCCTACCCAGACGGATGCTGCCAACGCTTCGATGAGATTTATGACTCTCTGCTGTACGAGTATACACCATCTTCCTCTCTGGGCTCTTGGAAGCCATACGTTGTGGCGTTCCTTTCTTGCTTTGCGAGGCGGGAGAGCCAGCGCCAGGGTCCATGGGTTCTATTGAGCCATCGGCAATGTCTTCCTTGTCCTCAGCCGTGCGTTCCCTGCTCCTTTCCCGGAATATGCTCTTGACCTTGTTGAACGGATTGCGTATTGGAGACCCCGCTCTAGGGGATCCTGGCTGACTTGTCGAGGGTGAGAGGTCCATGCCAATAGCAGGTATGAAAGCATTATCACGGCGTGTTGGCCGGATTTCAGGCGAATTAGGAGCCGTAGTATCAGAATCAACCGACAATCTCCTTTTGAAAGTCGGCACTTCCAGACTAGCTCGCCCGGATCGCGGGGGAGAGCTTTGTCGTGATCTGCCTCGGACAATCTTATCGTCAGTTTCGCTGAACTCGACGCGCGATTCTCGCCGGCTATGACTACGGCTTGGCGTCGAGTCTTTGCGACCGTTGCGCTCAGGCGTCGTTATATCCTCCGGTCGCATCTTCAATCCTGGTGTTTCTTGGCCGTATATTGACTTGTTATCATTGTCCCTAGCCTCCCGAGCAATCATTTCCATCATTTGCTTCTCGAGGATGTCTTTGCTATCGCTGGTGATGGTGGCTCCTCGAGCTCTCTTCTTTTCAGCCTCAGAGTCTGAACTATCGGAAATAGAACCCCTGCGGCCGAGGAGTCGATCACGAGTATGTATAGATCCATTATGACGATGATGAATGCCCCGCAGATCTTGAAGCTTTTGTCGGGCTCTGTCACGAGTTGAGCTTAAGATATTGTCATGTTCCGACTGTATTTTGTTGTTGTCCACTGTACTCGCATCGACAAGGGGTACAGTAACCGCCTTCTCTGGAGGTCGTGCAACAGGAGGTGTGACCACACCAGTGATCGATGTGTCGGTCTGGCGGGATAGTGGTCGGTAGAGCTCCGAGTCTTGCGGGAAGACGCGATGCCAGCTGCGGTCCTCTACAAGCTTCTTATGATCATCCTGCTCTAACCAATATAGATCGGCAAGCATATCTGCGGGGTCTATAACCCAGTCCACCCTTGGGCGTTTCGGTTTTGTTGTCGTTGCCGGTTGTCGCGAAGTGCTGGACGGAGGTGAGCCATCCAATGAGTTATCGCTAGCAGTTGTGAAGGGCGGCAGAGCTCCGCCACCAGGTGTCCGACTCTGGCCTGTTGCCACCCACTTGGCAACCTCGTCGACCCAGTCAGCAACTTTTGTCACGTCCCCAAAGCCCTGTCCCTCGCCATCAATAGCCTTTCTCTCGCGAGCTCTGACCTTCCTGTTCCTTATATATTGCAAAGGGTTGTAAGGGCGACCTAGCTGACCCATTTGCTCAAGAGCGCCGAAGCCCTGAGTTTGGGGTTGCGTTGGAGATGATGGTGGACTGGTAGTAGTTGATACTCTAGATAGGGGTAGCGGTTTGAGCGGAGGAACCAATTCGAGTAGTCTCCGTTGCTGGGCTTGAAGTTCGAGATAGTCCTTGGCTTTCTGTGCTCTTGCCAGAGTGGACTGGGAGAAGTGGTAGTGGTATATAGTGTCGTGGCCCATCGGGTCAAATGTGGTCTGTAGAGGGCTGTTCACTCTCCCGGAGCCAAGTCGAGGCATAGATCCTCGATCTGGTTTGGGCGAGACAGTCCGCGATATCCTTCGTTGTTGTTGTAGCTGCTGTCTTAAGCTTCCGCCCACAGTGCTATCAGGAAGCGGCGCTAGCCTCGGTGGTATGGGCTGGGATACGTTTCTTCTTGAGGCGATGCGCCGAGATTCGCTCAGGTTGAGTGCCATATTGACAATCTGTGCCGAGTCCATGTCCAACGATGTCGTGCTTTCCATTGGTGACGAGGACTTGGGCGTTCCATTCGAACCGTTTTGTTTCTTGCTTGCGATCCCTCCAAAATCCCGCGCTGCAGACGCGTGCCCGGCTTTCGATGCCATCTCGGGTGTGAGGCGTGAGCCAGCATCCGAGTGCCTTGTTGCATGCGATTTCTCTGGAGTATTTGTAGTAGAGGGAGCTTTGCCTTTGTGTCCATCGGCCGCATGCCGTCTCCGATGTGTGTGGCGTCGATTGACGTCTGGCGCGGCATCGTCGAGTAGCGGGTCAGACAGGAGGAATGCACCGCTGGATCGTGGCTTATGCGAGCGCTGTACTCCTCGGGTCTCCCTCGCACCATGTGCATTCGCGGTGTCGGTGTGGTTGTATGGCACGTCGTCCGACGACCTCGGCGCCAAGGTGGTGTCAGTCATGGAAGACTCGTTGAGAAGGCTGCCAGCTGTTGTCGACTCGCCAGCGTCGCCCTCGTCGTCGCCGCTCCTCCTCAGCTGGGCCTCCCGGTGGAGGTGCTGTGACGGAATGGCATCGTAGTCCGTCATCGCGAGCCGTCACATGTCAGGATCGGCTTCGGTGATGACACACTCATAAACGGGGATGCATGTCGAGATCGCAAAGCATTTTGTCGAGCGGTCACTTGCTGTCGTCTCCTGTGAGTAATGAATAAAAGCTTT